ACTCTATGTCTTGAAGGGACCTTTTCTCGTTCTTTGACCAACTTTTCGACTTCTTTCAAGGATGATCGTCACTTCCAACGCGTGGAGATAGTGGACCGTACGTGGAGAAGTGGTAATACATTCACTTCAGAATTTTCGCATCCCAGACTCCCTCCCACTTACACTACACTTCAACTCTAGTCGCTCGCTCTGCTCACTCAACATATAAACCCTCTCGTCTCCCCCAATGCCTCCCTCACCAAGCTCCCCCATCCTCCCAGCTCTAGACGAGCTCCCCCCTCAAACATAGCAGGTCTATAGCCCCCCCTCCGTCACAATGCCTCCCTCCTTCGCAGGCCTGACGGGCAAGAAATTGTCCTTGGCCATATCTACCGTCGCAACGACTGGTTTCCTCCTCTTTGGATATGACCAGGGTGTTATGTCTGGTATCATCGACGCAGACCCTTTCCATGATTACTTCCCCGAGACAAAGGATAGTACCATGCAGGGTTTCGTAACAGCTATCTACGAGATTGGGTGCTTGTTCGGCGCCATGTTCATCCTCTGGATTGGTGACTTGCTTGGTCGTCGAAGGGCCATGATTCTCGGTGGTTGGATCATGATCGTTGGTGTTATCATCCAAGTCACTGCTATGAAGGGCCACAAGGCTCTTGCGCAGCTCATCATCGGCCGAACAATCACTGGTGTCGGAAACGGCATCAACACCTCCACCATCCCAACATACCAAGCTGAGTGTTCCACCACCACCAACAGAGGTCTCCTCATCTGCATCGAGGGTGGTATCATCGCCTTTGGTACCCTCATCGCATACTGGATCGACTACGGCTGCTCCTACGGTCCCCAGGACCTCACGTGGCGCTTCCCCATTGCCTTCCAGTGCGTCTTCGGTCTTGTCCTCTGTATCTCAATGGTCTGGCTGCCAGAATCTCCCCGCTGGCTACTCACCCACGACCGACACGAGGAGGCCGAGCGTGTCATCGCCGCCATTCGCGGCTTCGAAGTCGACAGCGACGAGACCCGCGCTGAACGCGACCGTGTCGTCGACTCAATCCGTGCCTCTGGCTTCGCTGCTCAGAAGAGCACACCCGTCAAGGCTCTCTTCACCGGCGGAAAGACACAGCACTTCCGCCGTATGCTTCTCGGTTCGGGATCGCAGTTCATGCAGCAGGTTGGCGGCTGCAACGCTGTTATCTACTACTTCCCTATTCTGTGCACCGACATCTTTGGCGATAAGAACTTTGCTCTTCTGCTCGGTGGCGTCAACATGATCGTCTACGCCATTTTCGCAACGTCATCGTGGTTCCTTATCGAGCGTGTTGGTCGTCGCAAGTTGCTTCTCATCGGTACTGCTGGTCAGATGCTTTCCATGTTCTTGACGATGGGTTTCCTCATCCCTGGTGGTAGTGACCCTGGTACCAACGCGCCTCAAATCTCAAAGGGTGCTATCGCTGGTCTCTTCACATACATTGCTTCGTTCGGTGCTACTTGGCTGCCTCTTCCCTGGTTGTATCCCGCTGAGATCAACCCCCTCAAGACCCGAGGCAAGGCCAACGCTACATCTACCTGCACCAACTGGCTGTTCAACTTTGTCATTGTCATGATCGTCCCCATCATGATCTCCAACATCCACTGGGGAACCTATCTCTTCTTTGGCTGCGCCAACGCCACATTCTTCCCCATCCTGTACTGGTTCTACCCCGAGGTAAGCACTCTGACTATGTCTCTGCAATCACCACTAACGAATTCCAGACTGCCAACCGATCTCTCGAGGAAATCGACATCATCTTCGCCAAGGGCTTCGTCGAGAAGATGTCCTACGTGCAAGCCGCGAAGGAGCTTCCCTTCCTTTCTCACGAGGAAGTCGAGCGCGAGGCTATCCGACTTGGTCTCGTTGATGAGTCGAGCCGCGGTGGAGTTTTGGAGAAGCCGAATGAGGAGAGCGGCACAGTCCGGGACGACTCTGGCTTCAACTCTGAGAAGTCTTAGATCTGCTCATGAGCATGTCATAGAAACGTTTTGTGTTAAGACACACTTAGGATACCCTTTTTTTTACTTTAGAGTCATAAAGACTTAGAGCCATTTGGCATTATAGAGTTATAGATCAATAGACCACTATAACGAACAAACCTCAACCTCCAATACATAACTGAACAATGACTTGACTTACACCTTGATCTCCGCGTCAATTCTCCAATTTACAACGTGTGGCGAAAACTCTTTCCCCGACATTTCCCCCTTTGGAGATTAGAATACTCTTACCTAAACCCCGTGGAGACCAACATGACGATCCCTTCCTTTCAGACCAGGCAGCCATGTATTAAAATTGGAGAATCCTTAACGCGCCCGGAGGAGTCCTCCGCGTTTACCCCGAGAACCACTTGTTTTTGTGGAGTTGGTCTCAATCAGTTATTTCCTTTGACTTTGAAGCAGTGGGAGTTAGTGCTAGGGATTGTAGTTGGTTGGCTGGGAGGTTGTTGGCGGATGTCCCTTTTTGGAAAGCCGAGAACTGAATCATTGCACTGCATTCAGCGCATTGTGAGCACTTGTTCCGTAAGGTAAGAGGGATTGGACTTTTGTTATCAGGACCCATAATTGGTGTATCTTGCATTTCTTACCTGCCCCGTGGGGATATGGTTGCGGGATTGTGGTTGAAACGCGGAGATAAGCATATCTGAGTGTTGGAAGCGAGGGGATGAGGTTATGACATCAGTGAACTTGGGGAAAGCTATGGATAGTGCTGGAAATATGCAATGACGAGAGTATGGTATAATCACTTTTTGATGACTTGCACATTAAGAAAGCACTGATTATAAGACCTAGAGTCAAGATATTTACAATCCATTGTCTGTCCTAGGCAGGAATTGACAGAGTCGAGTCGGTTCGATGAACAAGTCATCACTAGGCAGCACCAGTCCCAGGTAGCCAAGAAGCTTTTGAACTTGCACTAAAACTAAGTAACTGAACAGCCCAGAAGGATTGCGATAATAGGGAACGCACTCATAGCGAGTGCGAACGCGGATCATACGGCTTTACGTAGGCCGCCTCTTTACCTAGCTCCGGTTCAGCAAACTCGTAGATCATCCACCCAGTCACAGGCTTTATCCCCGTCTTCTCCTCATCCACTTCCTCGTTACTTCTTCCCTCCTCAACAGCAGGGACATAACCTTCAGGGCCGGGAAGAGCCTGTATGCCGATAGACCCAGCGAGCATCTTGCACTTATACGAGGTTCCATTATCATTGACTTTGACCGGAGCAGTGACATATCCACCTGGAACTGTATCCGTACTGACGACAGGATACGATATCCCCTCTATAGTGTTACTTGTTTGACCGAGGCCTCTTTCTTCTCCTTCGTCGCTCCAGAAGCAGAATGCCGTGATCCAGCCTGACATTGTTCCTGTTCCTGACCTGCGCTTTACATGGGCAATCTGGTTCCAGAATGAATGGATGGCTGGATCGGAAGGCTGAGTGAACGAGAGAATCATGTTTTGAAGGATTGGCCGTAGGGGCATGGCGAAGTGAGTCGGTTCCTCGCCCATTTCATCCAGTTTGTCAAGTCTTTTGAGAATGTCCTCGTAGTCGCTTACTTCTCCTAGGAGTGTTACAGAAGGGATACCGCAACACAGTGTTATTCTGTAAGAGAAGTATTTCTGCAGTGCGCCCATGAGGAGCACAGAACCGATAACCCGATCATTTTCAGTAGTCGTCGAGAACGACGGGAGAACCCATTCTCGAAAAGAAGGGTCCTTGATATTCTTCCCAATCGCGAGTGTAATTCTCTGGGCGAGATTCCCGTAATCAGCAGTATGCAGAGTCGCGTAATCGATAATCTCAATCTTCTTCCTCCCACGATGACTAACGAAGTAATCCCGCTTCGTTTCAGAGTTGGCGTTGATGTAAGCGCTGAGCTGGGTGACTATAGCAAACCAGATATCTTCGGGGCGGATGGTGAGATGAAAGTGGTGGCTATACGCGTAGAAGCATGACCAGACGAGACCGTTCCTTGAGGCTGTGATGTGGTTCTCTTCGAGGGATCCGGCGATGGAGAATGAGCTTTGGATGATTTGCTTGCATCCATTTGCTTCTTGGGCATTAACTATCTGTAGGAGCTGTGGGGTGTCGTCTTTGGGTCCTTTCCAAGAATCAACTTTGCTATTGGGAATGGCGACGGTGACGGGCATTTTGACTGTGTTGAGGTTATTTCTGGGTCAGATAAGGATTCGGAAGATGATGAAGAAACTCGTTTGTAGTGTAGGTTGCTGCCATCCTTTTATAGGTAAAGTGATTCTGTGACGAGGCCGGAGGGCTGATCAATAGTTGAAGCTTCTATGGATGACGGCGGCCTATAAGGTTAAGCTTTAGGCTGCGAACACAGATAATGAATGACAACACGATGTTTCTTTTTACCCCGATATAAGCTCTTACCCAGAAGCTTTCACGATGATAGTTGAAGCTTATGACGTCTCAAGGAGACATATCAAGCCAAAATCCTAATTAGTTTTAGCTTTTGGAAGGTAATATACATAGCCTCAGTAAAGAGAAGTCTCCCAATTAAATACAGAATAATATACTTTGTGGTAACTTAGTCAGTAACCTTACTGGCAGCTTCTCCCAGAGTGGCTCCTGATAAAGTCACATGTGGCATGGAAAAAACACCGTCAAAGCCACATTAAGTTCCCTCGAAGAGAGCTGGCTATAGAGTGGGAAGCTGACTTTGTCAAGAATTGGGTTCATGAGCCGTGACGGACCAAGTTCTGGCGGCTCAGGGGCTTGGTTTATGCCAATACTCTAGATAAAAACTTTTTATTATAAACTTCGCCTTCATATAGCTCAGATCAGGCCTTCATATCGTGAAGCGACACGTCAGCGAAATCGTACTTCTCATACGGATGCCGACGTTGTGCCTTCAGCTACAGAGCTAGGGGAAACTATTGATATGCGTTGGAAATCAACTCTCATCTAACTAGTATACAACTCATGTACTACATTCCCTTCTTGAGGAAGAACCCAGCGAGCGTGGCAATATGTTCCAGCTGCTCAAGCGAAACACCCTCACTCCTCGACAACTTCTCCGCAACACCACTAAACGTATGCCAAACCTCTATATACTTATTATTCGTATTCTGATTAGTTCCAATCCAATTCAACGCATACGCCATCTGCGCACGAGTCCGTATCTTCTTCAAATCCTCTTCATCGATAGAAATATGACTGTAGTTAATCGCAACCTTGGGCTCCAACTTTCTATACTCTCTGGTGTATAGGGCTCCTAGTCTCACGCACTCGATCACGAGCGCTGCTAGACCTGCTGCTAACCCGTTGGCGACAGAACTACCAGAGTGAGCGTCGAATTTTTGCAGTTGAGTTTTGGTTTCGTTGCTGTCGATTACGACTTCGTGACCGGGAAAGATGAAATCTACTGTTTGTGAATCGCCTACTGTGTCGACTATGTTGCCGGTTGCTTTTGCGGCGCCGATTCGGAAGCAGTTATGGCTGCTTGCATGGGGATAGCTGACGTCTGCGGATTGTCCTTGATCACTAGCGGCGCAGAATATGAGACAGCCGTGTTTACCGATGGCGTTGAAGATAGCTGTGTCGAATTGGCTTCTTAGTGGTTCTTCTGGGGGTTTGATGGTCCATGACATGCAGATGATCTGGGATCCTCTCTTTGCCGCGTAGTTGATAGCCTAGCTCGTTAGAACCTTGTGCCGACGTCGATGGGAAAATCCTTACCTTTACTGCACTGTCAGGTTTGATCTGAAGCTTCTTGGAATTCCCTGACCAAAATGTCTGTAGCTTGATGACATGTATAATAGCACTAGGGCAAATCTTGTGAATAAGCCTTGCCATTAACGTCCCATGCCCAGAAGGTGAACTCCAGTACGGTGGAACGCGGGGTGTTGACCCTCCAGTTTGGTGATCAAAGCTCTGTCCCAGAAAGGTACGATCTCTGGTGTCGTTAAGATCAGGGTGCATGATATCAACACCATCGTCGATCAGCGCCACTTCCACCGGCGGTAGAGAAGAATTATTACTTCTGAGAGCTTTGATCTGCTTAAAACTCTTGGTGAAGCTCATCATACATTCCATCCATTTGTGAGGGTCGATCGAGCGCTGTAACGGTTGAGGTCTTGCATCGGGGACTTGCACTTGTGCCATGCGCACGCCGCCGCCTGTTTTAGGGGGGATAACTTGGGGTTTGGGTCTTCCTTCGGGCCAGGAGTCGTGTAGTCTTCTCTCGAAGGCGTTGAGATTCTCTATAGTTCGTTCACGGGACTCGAGGCCCTAATGGAACATGTTAGTGGTAAGACGAGCTGAGACTATTTTGGGTAGACGTACTTCATGCTGGAACAAGTGAATGACTTCTAGTGTAGGAATTGAAGCTAGACCCTCCTTCTCGGACCAAGCTCTGAGAGTCGAGTTGCTGCCACTCCATTGGAGGTGAACCTCACGTAGATGAGTCCCAATCTTGCGAAGGGAGAGTGCATCGAGATCCAAACGTCTCCAATCAAGAATTTCGACGCCCTACAAGTCATCAGTAAATGCCAATCACAAGTATATCCTAAACTTACCAGATCCTTCAAGCACTCCTCGATCGCCTCGTCACTGTGTGAGGGCTGTTCCATATCTTCGACAACAACCTATTTCGTTATTCGTAAGAGAATTTAAATAGGTTCTCGATTATCTCACCTTGATGATCCGAGTGACGGACTTTCCTCGCAGCCAGTCAAAAAAGAATGTCATATCCTGAATCCGTCAGTGACCAAGTATCGTATAAAGGCAGTCTTTCTCACCTTTCTTCCTTGATGTCTTACATCCGGCTGTTCTCTGCCCCCCTTGAGTCGAACCCTCGGAAACCCAACATACTGCAGTGCCGTGTCGAATTGCAAATGGCCGAAATACTTCTTAAAGTCATCTTGGCTGACTGTATTGGGTGGCCCAAAGTCAAACCAGAACTCTTTATCCGGATCATCCGGTAGTCTTAGACTATCCGCTGCTTTCTCCGGGCTTAGTTTCCGTAAAGTCTCGAGTTTCAGTAGGTTACTGATGGTCTTCGCTGCGTCCTCCATCTCCTTCTCTTTGGACCCGGGTTTCTGCACCACATCCGAGCGAGTTGCTGTCACCGTTTTGACTCGAGCTATCGGTGTCAGGGATGGAGATTGCACTGGAGTTGTAGCACCTTGTGGCGTTGCGGCAATGGAACCTCTTCGCTTTACGCCTGGCGGGGGACCCATGCTTGTCTTTTCCGAGCCTGACTTTTCCGTTCTTGTTACAATTCTCTTTGCATCCTTCTTTGGATCTACTCCTCTTTCGTGTTTGTGCTCTACTCTCTTTGGGGCTGCTGCTGTGGGCTCTTGGATGGCTAGATCCTGAGCACGTCTTCGTCGACTCTCGAGGAACTTCTTCCGCGTATGATGGTGGTACTGATAGACTGACAACGTGCGATTGAAGTCATCTGGATCTTTGATAGGCTCATCCAGGAGGTCGGGACAAGAGCGTAAGATCTCCTTTACCACCTCGACTTGACTGTTGCAGCAGCACTCATACTCGACCGCGCGATGAAGAGCGGTACGGCGCTTAGTGTCCCGCACAAAGAACATGTCTCTCGGCACAAAGCCGCATATCTTGTTGAAGAACTCTTTTCTCTTGACTCCATTGTCAAAGATGCAAGTCGCAGCGGCGTGCAAGCAAGTAGTCTCACTGCTCTCATCCCAGTTCTCATATCTCTTCTGCAACAGAGCATTATACTCTTGACACGTCGCATCCTTAATCTTCAAGCACACTGACCAACCGAAAAGCGAGTTATTCGCCAACAGCGCACTTGTCAGAGGAATGCGCTTGTTGTTATCCGGCGACCAGAGGAGATGTGCTGGGAGTTTGCGAATGGCTCGCCACATGAGCCATTGGAGGTTGACGGGCGGTTTGTGAATTCTGTGGTCGTAGTCTGCGAGGAAGTGAAGAAAGTTCTTCCCTTCCTCGGTGGTGTTGTGCCATTCGCCGAACCTATCGTTGACGAATTTGAGCTGTTGGCTTGCCTTGTCGCTTGATTCAGAGGCTTGTAGGTTGTTGGATAGTATTCGAGCCTCTTCGACATGGCGCTCGAATTTGGCTTTGACAGGATCCTCGTCTAGGAGCGTGACGGACGCAGCTGGGAACTCATCTTCGTCGAGGTAAACCTCGTCGTCATCTTCTTCATGCTCTTGGTGGAATCCATTGGAAGTTTCATCGCTGTGATTCATTGTCACTGTGAACACGCATATAATGGTACGCAATTGGAAGATGAGAATGAATGAGAAGGCTAATTGCATGCATGCATGAGTTAGAGCTGGTTTGTCAACTGAACAGGCCTGAAGCAGGGGTTATCAGCCTCCTTTTGGGTACATCCACCTGATTTCTGATTATTGGCTCTCGAGCCGCCCAACCTCTCCGTGGTCAGCATGTGCCACTCGCTGCGGGGCGATATGACCTTCGTGCTAGGGACCCTTGCAGGTGTCCTCCAGATCGAAGACCCTTGTAAGCTAGAGGAAGTCTTCGTTGGAAGACAAGAGCTTGAGGTGTCATATTGAACCAGACACTTATATATATATCCTGACAGTACATATCAGAAACTTGGCAGCCATGGCAACCTCAGAGAACTACGATCAGGCAGATGAGCCTCTCTTGGTCTTCGAAACACCCTTGGAGCACCAGGTTATCGGCGAAGATGACACTGTACGAACTGAAAATGTCTCGATGAGCGATTGGGAGAGACGCAACATCATTCAACGAACCAGCGGCAGCATCCATACTCGCGTTGAGCTGCTCTCAGTCAGTCACGGATCATACAACGAGGGAGGAGACAACGCCACGATGATGGTATTCCGTTTCCGCTTTGACCCTCAGAAGAGCTCACGAAGAGTCATCCGAGCCAGAGTCGAAATCGAGTTCTTCGCAACGGACGACTCGTATCTCGAGGTCGATGCCATCGCGCCCGAGGAACGCTGGACAGTGATACCGACCACCGACACAGAAACGACAACGCGTGGCGGCCAGCTGAACCTAGGTGCTTCAGGCGTGCCATTCCTCGAGGCCGGTGCTACAGCGAGTCTCGAAAGGTCATACAGCAGGGATGTCAACGGTGCAACCACAATTACAGGCAGCATCAACCTCGGGTCGGGCAAGAACTCGGGCGAGTCAACGGTAGCAGTGTGGAATCTCCAGGAGAACGAGCGCCGTAAGACGGGCGTGCCGGATTCAGTAACGACTGCGATTCTTGTGCGACGAGCTGGCGATGAGCGCTTTAACGCTGAGGTTACGCTGCAGGCTGACGTTGACTGGGTCACTGGGTGGGAACGCAGGCTTTCAAAGATCCCATTGGATGATCCGATTCTTTTCAACCCTAGAGAGACCGGGGGGCCTGGTAAGAAGGGGAGATCTTGTGGTGCAAAAGACTTGGCGAGCGTTGATTTGAACGGATTGTGTAAAGTGAGGATGGCTGTTGAGGCTCCGTTTGCTGTTAAATAAAAGGAATGAATGGATATTTGGTGATAAATTTATTAATTAGCCTGGAAATAATGTTCTATCACCATTCATACTACGTATGTAGACCAACCATCCCGAGTCGGCCCGTGCTCACCAAAGGCCCTAGATATGCATGTAAGATATAGGGGTCATGGGGATATCTGCACCTCGCAAGCTAGTCACACTGATTATCTGCAGCGCCGCCTGGTAGTATGGCCGTGCCCAGTGTGCCTCCCCCTCTTTGGAAGGACAATCTCTTGTTCACCCTTAGTGAGGCTCTCAGAGTAGGCTTTGAGTGCCCAGCGATACTCGGTTTATGTTATTGGCGAGACGTCTGATCTGAACCTTGAACAGCGTAGGCTCTGTTACTGTTGTGACCATGACCGAGATAGTGGTTCCCCAGTTGGAGAAGCCTGTTCTGGAGATCCAGACAGCAGTTGATGGGAGCCATGACGAGCAGTTACAGAAGTGTAAGTCACTTGTCACTCGAAGGAGCCTCATTCAGAGTGTAGCATATACTGACAAAGTCGCAAGTCGGGTTGAATGTAATCCAAGATGGAGAACAGGAACTGACCCCTGACGACGCTTCGAACCATGAGACGCCTATTATTCCTTTTGAGTGAGTATTGGCCAACCGGTTCCCGAACAGTACTAAATACATGGCTTTCTAGTGTCGTTCTTATTCACGGCATCTACGGTTCAAGTCAAGAATCGTGGACCTCAGGATCCGACACAATATGGATCAACAAAGCCCTTGCTGGCGCATCAGAGAGCAAGGGACGTATAATGTCCTACGGTTACCAAACAGACATCGAGACAGGGAGATACTACACGCCAAGCGGCGTTTATCAAGAGGCAGAAGCACTCTTGGAAGCTCTTCGAAAGCTTCGGACCTCAGAGATCACGGTTTGTCAATCTGGTTCCTTTTAGTGACGCCACTGACCAATGTCTCGGCAGGGGGCCAGACGGCCGATACATTTCTTTGCTCACGATGTTGGAGGGGCTATCATGAAGGCGGTAAGATTAGTTATGGAGTGGTTTGAACTGGAACTGCTGCTGATGGATGCAGGCACTGGTGATGGCTTCTGATCGTCAAGATAAGTACGACGATATCCTACATTGCACACGCGCTATGGTGAGGAATCTGAGCTGAATCTCCTTCCCGCTTTGCGCTGACTGAGTCATGATAGTATTTCTTCGGATATCCACATAGAAATTCTTCGATCGGTCTCTTGGAAGAGGCTGTGTTGCGATTGATGGCCCAGCAACACCAAAAATGGTCCGGCCATATGGTTGAATACGCCAAAGGTCTCACAGAGACCATCATCAAAGTAAATGATGCGTTTCTTGGGACTCAAATGCTTACTCAGGCCAACTTGATCAATGTGGTTTCTAATCTTCACTTGGACCCAGCACAACAGGTTCGTGTATAAGAGCTTGGCGATATGGCAAAATCCATGGGACTACTGGCTGCTAATTACACATTGACAGGTCTTTCCTCTCAGCATGTCGACTATGGCCACTCCGTTTGAGAGAGTGGTGAAAATGGAGAAAGCGAACTGTGATTTGATCCTTGCGACAGAAGATGGATATCATCCGGTGAATGATTTAGCGGACGCAGACTGGCTTAGTAGGTTATTCTTTGATCAAGGGATTATCACTAATACCACTCTCAGTGGGAGGCTTCACGGATGAACAGCACGTTGCTCTTCGCAAGATCATCAATCAAGCGTCACCAGTACTTCCATATCAAAATATTGATGAGAACTGGCAAAATCCCGACCTCTTAGAATTACCGAAGCGGAAAGAAACGATGATAATGCATATGAGATGTTCTTCTGGTGCCGAAGCAGCATCCGAGAACGCCAGTTTCTTTCTGGACCAGAACAGAAGCGGCACGTTCCATCCATTACTTTATATGAAGTTCGATGCTCACGACACTCGATTCGACAATTGCGACGCCATGATGCGGACATTCCTCGCTCGTATTGTGTGCAACAGACTACAGACTGAGAGTGTCGCGTCAAGGTCGATGGATGATCTGCTTCGTTCCGGAGCCTTACACAGAACCAATCTGTCCGAGGAGCTGGAGACTCTGCGATCTGCCAAGGGTAAGCAAAAGTTGAACCGAAGTGCTTACAGAGCTGATTTATGTACAGATATGAAGTCGGCTATTTACGTGCTGGGGTGCTTCGATGAGTGCGATGAGTCTTCGATCTGGTTCCTCTCTGCGATGCACAAACTTCTGCTCAGGAAAGAGCAGCGTATCAAGATATTGATGGTGACTACAAGAGGAACTCACGGAGACTGCCTCATCGCCTCTGCTTTATCCGGGTTTCCTCCAGAATATGTCAGAAGCATCGACTACCATCCCGAGGAGTCGAGGCCATTTCCTGTTGATACAGAAGCATCGAAGCTCACGAATAAACTCGGGGAGAGTGTTGGTACATGCCTACACCGAGATGTTCATCTTGTACTCTCGAGCTGTGCAAGTGATCATAATTTATGCGAACTGGTCATTGAATGGCTCGGAGCAGGCACAGGGCAAATCACACGAACTAAGAGGCTACTTGACAAGCCCCTCAGACCAACTATTGCATTTGCGGCAATACTAGAAGATGTTGACGAGTCACACCGGCCATGGGCCAAGATACTACTTTCTTGGCTGCTCGCCTGCTGCAGACCACTACGATATGACGAGCTCCGCCAGGTCTCTAGTATTGTTTGGCTTCAATTAGAGGCGGATAAAACCACTTTGTCTGCTCCGGCTGATGTTTTGCGACCCTTCCACGGGCTGCTCACTTCTGTGAACGGCGAGATACAATTCAAACATCCTGACACCCGGGCGTGGCTAGAAAGTTGTCATTCAGCTGGCCACGAAGACATATGGTATGATACAGTCGGGGCGGGCTGCCACGAGAAGGTACTGCAGGTCTGCATAGACTATATCCAACATGCCGCCAGCAATTCACAAGACCCGATCCTGTCCCTTCCTTATGCTATTGAATTCTGGCATAAACATTGGCAGCGAGTCAAGACATCTGAAAAGCATGTACAGGACTTGTTTTGCAATGAGTCAGTGTTTCAGTTTTGGGCAAACTCACTTTTTGCTTTGCCCAACGCGCAGTTCAAGTCTCCACCAAGACATGTCAAGCCCCTTGCTGTCGCAGCTCACTTGGGTCTGACAACGGTTGTAGAGGTGCTTCTGGAAAAAGGACAAGATCAGGCCGAGTTACGCGGCCAGGCTCTGGTTGAAGCTTGCAGAACAGGCCATGTTGCTACCATCCGGCTTTTGATATCTTCATATACAGACGGCCTGGAGTTTGACGATGAGTATCTACACGAAGCTGCGAGAATTGTCAGCCACTCGAGTAACGATGAAGCACTAGAGGTACTCATCAGCGCAGTACCGGAACCTCCTAAAACGGATCCAGGAGGAGAAGAGTCTGAAGTGAACCTCGTATTCACGGAGATTCAAGAAAGGACCGCTTCGCAGGACGATTCCTCAGAAAGGCCGGCAAAGCACGATTATGAGGTGAAAGATCTTGACCCTCAACCGCGTGTATCCAGCCCACTTGATTGGCTTGTCATGCCCATGTACAAAGCCGCCAGGACAGGATTGAGTGGCGTTGTCACTAGACTCCTCCAGCTGGGAGTATCTCCTAATCCCCCGAAGGGCATAACCCCCTATGGCAATAGCTACATACACGCAGCAGCAGTCAATAACCACGTAGTCAACGCAAAGCTACTTATCGACGCAGGAGCGAGTCCAACAGCAACAGACGAACAAGGATATACTCCGCTGCAAAAAGCCATCTGGTGGGCTTCCGGCGAGACAGTCGAGTTCCTACTTTCTAACGGCGCTTCTATCAACGATCTAGACCATGATAAATTGACGACCACGGGGGCTGCTGCCATGTGGGGTTCCTTTGCAGCACTGGAGGCTATACTATCACGCAAGGACGAGGTTGAATGCTTGATGGATGATTCGGACTGGAACCCAGTCGTTCAAGCAGTTGAATACGAGAATAAGACGTGCCTAAAGCTTCTTCTCAGTCATGGCTTCAGCCCTAACATTGTCACGTCGAAGGGCGAGACGGCGCTGAGGCTCGCTATTCAGAACAAAAGGCTTGATTTTTGCAAGATGTTGCTAGAGAGCAATGCGGATCCGGATCTGACGCCTGATAAGGTTAACACGCCTCTTATCCAGGCGATTTCTGAGGGAGACTTGGATATAGTCAAGGTTCTCGTTGAGAACAAGGCCACAGTAGACAAGCGTGAGGCGCCGCCGGATGATGGATGGTCACGCACGCCAAGTAGGTATTCGATACGTCTAGACGAATGCATCACTGACTTGTTATAGTGCAAGCGGCCGTAGACTGGAATCGTCCCGAGATCGTCCAGTATCTCCTTGAAAAAGGAGCAGACCCCGATGCGCGAGACTCGGATGGGATTCCAGCGATAGGCGCTGCAGTAAGCGGCGGACATACAAGCATGGTGCAGTGGCTAGCAGATGCGAACGCAGATGTGAACGCCGTCTACCACGACAACAAAGTGACGCCGTTACATGAAGCGTGTCCCCATCCCGAGATAGCTCGAATCCTCCTCGATCACGGCGCAGACATCAACAAGGTCAACGCAGACTCACGCACAGCACTGAGCTTTGCAACCGCGGCGAATAATCTCGCCACTGTTGAGTTACTGCTTGAGGCTAAGACGAAGCCTGATATCAATGCAGACACGATCTACCACGATTTACGCGTAGTGATACCTGCGGGGTTCATTGACGTCGTTGAGAAGATGCTAGAAGCTGGTGTTGACGTCAACAAGGTCAATGAGCAAGGCGAATCGCTGCTTGCATATGCTATCAAGTATGATGCACCGAGTAGTATGATACGCAAAATTCTCGAATACAATCCTGATCTGGAAGTGAGGGACAAGAAGGAGAATACCGCACTTCACTGTATCACCGGCTCAACGACTCTCGAGACTGTTCGACTTGTTGTCAACGCTGGTGGAAGACTAGATGTTTTGAACGCCGATAAAGACACGCCTCTGATTGTTGCTATTGGAGCTCAGATGGATGATGTGTTCTTTTATATGCTGAAAAAGAAGCCTACACTGCTGACGCAGAACTCTATAACATCGCAGCAAAGAGTCACACCGCTTCACGAGGCGTGCAGGTTTGGTTCACTGGCCATGGTTCGATCGTTAATCGAGCATGGTGTGGACATCAACTCCGTCTGCGATGGAGTCTATGGGACACCCTTGATCTCAGCAACAGTCCGAGGCGATCTATTATCATCTCCACTAGTCAGCGACATAATCGCTCTTCTACTTGTGAACGGAGCCAGCCCGCGTACTGAAGGGGGCTTATTCCGATATCCTCTCATCTCAGCATGTCTATCATGCCCAGCAGACACTGTCAAGCTGCTTCTCAACACGGATACTTCGCCTCAAGATGAAGATTCTTTGAACCGCAAGGCAGTCCATGCCGCGTGCTATAATTCTCTCGCGGTTCTCAACGTTCTTGAAGTTCCTGACTCGGATTTTGCGGCTGCGGATGTAGTTGGTAGAGTACCGTTACACTATGCTGTCATGACGGGTGATGTTGAGTTGGCGGAGGTAGTACTGGAGCGCTCTGAGAGGGTTGGTATTAGTATTGATGTCAAGGATGATGATGGGTGGACGCCGCTGCTCTGGGCTGCTCGTGCTGCACCGGTCTGGAACCGACAGCATGAGGGCGGGGTTTCGAGTAGTGATATGATATCGTTTCTCTTGAAACATGGAGCTGACCCTACGATCAAAGGGCACGGAGTTGACAGAGACTGGACAGTCTGTGAGGTGGCATACTATCACCAAGCTGACTTGTAAGCACCCCTACTATTCACACTGATAAACGCTTACCCTTTCTAGTGTCGAAGATCTGATAGATCAACCAAGCAAGGAGAAGATCAGATCCAGAAAACGGGGTAGCGGCCCCGGGTATCAAGGCAACAAGAACGCATACTGTGATAACTGCCTGATCGAGTCCTATGGTATCTTCTTTGACTGTTCGCTATGCTTTGACTTTAGTCTCTGTTTCAAATGTCACAGGAATGCTGAAACGATACATCCTCTTCATGCGTCGTTTGTTCGGTGTGGGAGTGAATGGGTTGAGGATGAAGTTGCTAAGGATGAGGATGTTCAGGAGATTAGTTTGGATGATGGGATTGGTGAGCAAGATGTGTTGCTGGACATTGAGGAAATACCCTATGAGGATTTCGACAGTGAGGTTTCAGAATAGACGTGTTAGCGATATCGAAGTTTTAAGAAAAGTCTCAGTTTAACATGACAACTATGTCAGATACATCTTTTCAGCGTGGCAAATTTGCCGATCTTAGTATAATATCTAAATATATTTTATTTAAATACTGTACTTATATTGTATTAATAAAATATTCATAATAACTTAATGCCCAGACAGCCGGGATGCAGGGACAAGTCCTTACCTTAAATCTCACTCTAAATACGCTGGACTATCGGAAGAAGTAAAGGCCTGCAAACCATGCGAGACAACTGTCTCTCTAACTCAGTTCTTAAAGGACACCGAGATAAACCATGAGACTCGGATTTTCCTGTTGAACAGACAGTTCTGGCTCTAAATGTTGCATGCTCAGTGTTGCTGCTAAGAACAACGGTTTGGTGCCCTGAACGCTGGAATAGCAAAGCTATCAAAATCCCGGCCCAAAGCACAACTACATTAGCTACCATAGCATGCACTGTATACCTGGAGAATGCCATAGATGAAGCATTACTCCGCGACTCCTAGTGCCGACGGAGCTTGGATACTCAGGCTATTCAGTCAACCATGCTCGAGCTAGCTATCTTGCTACTCGAAATCTTCCATCACAAACCTCTCGAAAGTTGGGCTGAAAGTTATGGAGAAGGGAACATGTGCTCGGATGGTGAGCGGATAGCCGGGGCGAGACGCTGGTTGAGAATGAGCGGCGAAGACAGGGCGGAAATGCTGCTCCTAGATCAAGTCAGGGCTGTTGAGGGATGCTTAGAAGATTGTGTAAAAGAGCAAACTCGACTGGGATGTTAGGTTTCAGGATGGATTCTCTGAGAATGTTATCAAGCCGCTGTATCGCATTGAACTTGCGTAATATATTGATTCATGTGCACGCAATCACAAATCCAGTAACCCGTCAAGCACAAGCCAACTCTGTTTGATCAAATTGGAATGGGGGGACGGGACTCAGGAGTTCGATTGCGTTGAAGAACTCCCGTCGGCTTTTTCTTAATTACGGTGGCATATCCATACAACGTCAAGTACTCTCCAAAGCTAGAACAGTGATCCTTGTACTGAGTTGATCCTTACATTGATCTTCGGCCCCAAATAAAGCGCATGGGGAAGTAAGCCCCTGTATCCTTCAACTCCCTCTCTAGATCTTGTACAAGGCTATCCAGCCTCTCATCCGATAGTGGTCTCAAGGGAGGATTCAAACCTATCAATGTTAGCCCCGTATCTTCAGGTCCTATCTCGACTGACCTTTAGCACCAGCCGCAAACCCCTTGGCAATAATCAAATCCGCCCCAACTCCCAACCTCCCCAGCTCCTCATCTATATTTCTCTTCCCAACGGCTCTCATAGCCGTCATCTCGTGTACATCTTCCAGCCCAGACTCAACCAGCCAAGACTTCATATTAGGCGCTTCAAGAGGATCTAGGCCTGAGGCTTGGCAAGCAACTCTGATACACGCAAACATATCGTGATACCTCGGATTCTCAGTCTCGGGAGTTGGGCAGATACGATCGCAGTCGCCGATTTGGATCCATCCGCCTGGTTTGAGAAGTTTGATGTGCTGATTCACCACGGCGCGTTGAGATGAGGCGGAACCAGCGGCGATCAGAATCATGCGCATGTTGATGAGATCGAAAGATCCATGCCATGATTCTGGCGGAGGATCTTTGATGTCTTGTTTCACATAGGTGACGCCATCCGTGGTTGCCGTTGGAAAGAAAGAAGTATTGATATCAGTGCCGATAAAGGTATGTTCACCTTGAGCTGGCTTGGGAATCGAAGACTGAACATCGCGCATCCAGAGACCGTCCGCAGTTCCGACATCAAGGATAACTCGAGACTGTGTCGAGAAGTCAAGCGGCGGAAAAACGAGTTCCCCATTTGTTGCCTGCTTGAACCCGAGATGATAAATGGTCAGCCGGCCTATGTCACTGCTCACGTCTTGATCCTGGGCTTTGAGATACCACTCTGGCGTTGAGTAGACTGCCTCCGACATTTTGAGTTGTTTTTAGATTTCTGAATGAGTCAGCAAGGTGAAGCCAACAGATGACGCTTGAGTAAGATGCTCTGCTTATCTTTATCTCACAATTTCTCTGACGGCACGTGCCTGCTGAGCGGCGCAGCAGCTGCTTACTTAACCTAAACTCTTTGACATGTATGAGAGCCAGTCGAAGTTGTACATAGGTATTGCAAAAGGCTTGTGTCGGATGCAGGGTTTTGGCATGTCGAATGGCCATTGAGACTTCAGGACATATGTCACCCTCTAAGGGCTCGATAGATAACCTTATATCATAACCTGTGGATATGCTTGGTGGGTTCATGAACTGGCTCAATATTTTGAGCTTCCATTCACGTGGCACCATGAACGCGGTCATAGCACTGCATCTTGATATCCCGAAAGGCCTAAGATGCTGATTGTATGAAGTCATTCCCATTGGAATTCTTTGGGGAAAACTCATGAATGTCACCTCACTTGAATGGCAGGCTCAATCATTGGTATATCGTGAGAACTGAGACAAGAGTCTTCGTCTCGCGAGGTATCTTTCATATCTCCCGGTGAGATAAGAGCCTTCTGTAAACCTCGATACTCAGATAAGTTACAGTTGAATTCCCCCTAAAAGATGAATCTCAAAGTCCCCTACAAATTCCCTTGCAATGCTCAATAGCTTCAATTTGACGGCGTCCAACTCGCTAGTCACCTCCATACCATAAGCTATGCCAAAACCGAAGCCCTGGCTACCCCAAGAACCAGGGCCAAAACTCCCTCCCTACGACGGCAACTTAATGGCTCCTAATGTCACATTCCTCAAAGCCCTCGACACCAACTCCGCTCACGGCACCATCGTAAAGGCACTCATCGGCCGGCATCTGTACGCCGTAAAGTTCGTACGTCCCTATCAACTTTCTAGCAAATTATCCTAATAGCTTTCAGTTCACCACTCCTCCAAACGATATTAACACCAGAGATATCTACGGCCACAAAGGATCGTGGAGCTGCTGTGATGGATTTGACTGGTATTTCTCACCGTTCGAGAATGAGTGTAAAGCTTTCTGTAGACTGAAGGAACAGAGAGCCGAAGCCATCACTGTTAAAGTCTACGGATGGGTTGCCCTCACAGCAAGACAAAATCGAAGAAGGCTCTCTGCTTGAGGTGCGCAGAAGTTAGATTTCCTCCTGGGTTACTCTACGGCATTGTCAAAGACTGGGTCGAAATGACCCCCTGGCACGATTCGAAGCCACGCGTTACGTACGACCAGATGTTAGCAGTGAAATACTTCAACCAAATGCTCAAAGATCTCCACAAGCTTCATTTCCTCGAAATAGTAGTTCGCGACTTGAAACCAGATCAATACATCGACGGCACCCTCATAGATCTAAGTCTCGCCCTTACAGTCCCCCATCCCTACGGTCCAACCGCCGAAGGCCCCGAATCTCCCTTTCAACCACGCTGGACGTACGAAAGCCTCGCAGCATATGATCTGTACAACTCCCAAGTCCGCGTCATTGACTTCCGGAGGCACAACCAAAAAGTCTGGTTTAGCAAACGGGCGCGAAACGGTATGCAGACGAAGACCACTGTTGATGCGTATCCGGCGGATAGGTGTAAAACGATGCTTCACGCATACGAAGCGGTTCGTTCCGATGCTGAATTATTATGAGGAGGTGCTGGCGATGGTTATGAAGCCGATGTATGATCCGTTGGACTTTTTGAGGAGAAATCCGGGGTATCCGGTGCGGATTGCGCAGTTTGGAGCTCCGGCGAGGGGACCGCCAGCGCCGGAACTGAGACGGAGGATGATGGTGCAGGGCGGGTGTTGTTCTGTTATGTAGTCAGTGTTTCTATTGCTATCGACAAGTCAGTATTGGATAAATCGTGAGTGTTAATCAGAACATTTGGGCGAAAGGCTTGGACAGCGAAATTGATATGATCGACACGAGAGGTATCCAATTTCATCTAGCGTCTCGCTATACAAGAACAAGTGTTGGGACGGCGCGTGTATTAGACAGTTCCCGGTTTATTAGTGTAATCACCCCTGAGGCATCTCATTCAAAAGTTCCGCGGTAATGCAGTAAATATGTTATTTCCAGAAATATGTTCAAGTGAAGTAAACAAACGAGGGCATTTCTTAATTCTTATGCCATGTTTACGCCAAGGAAACCACCCAGTCCAACAGCCATAACTCCCCAGCTCCAAGAGGCAATAGACCCAGCCGAGCACCCATCATCGTCGTTCTTCTTCTTCTTGGTAGGGCTCGCGGATGAACTGCCACTATCGTCATCATCATCGGCAGCAGATCCAGAACCGCTCTTGGAACCGCTGCTAGAACCACTGCTGTCGTCACTACCGCTGCCACTACTTCCGCTGCTTCCACTGTCCCCAGAGTCCGAACTACCATGGGGAGTCTTTCTCTTGCAAAGCTTATTACTCGCCGTCTCCGTTGCTTTAGCCGTTGATTTGGTACTCGTGGTCTTTCTCTTCTTAAGGTCAACAAAAGTAATAGGCGTCATCCAGCGTTCACTCTCCGACGAAGGAATAGTTCGCGACTCCACGGACTCAGTCTGAGTAGCAGTAATAGTCGCGCAAACAGCTGAGCCTGAGCCTAGGGAGCAATCGTATGTCGTTGAGCTGACGGCAAGATTCATGCTCGACTCTTCATAAGTCACGGTAATTCCGTGAAAGTCTCCATCGCAGGAGTATGAAGTACCGAAGTTTGTCTGACAAGCGAGGAGATATTCCGTCTTTGAGCCGGTTTCTGTAATAAGGGAGGCGTAAATATTCGTCGCACTTCCAGTTTTTCTCTGGGGTAAAAAGACAGTTTCAGTAGAGTATTTGGTAGTGCTCTTTGCCGCATCAGCCAAATACGGCGCGACAGCGAGAAGAATTGATGTCCACATAATGAAGGTTCGTGTTTGTATGAGAGAATTCAAGCCTGTAGAAACTGGGAAATGAGCTGAATATTTATCCTTATCCCAATTCAACCTCAGGAACCACGTCGTCCAATAATCAGTGACATTCCCCTGCAAACGCCACTGGCAACCCTTGCTTGCAGCTCAGCCCTGGGGGGCAGGGGTACGCGAGTGAATCCTCTCGTCTAACAAGCTTGTTTTGGTGGCAGTTTATGCTTGTTTTTCCGCAGCCACTACCATCCCGTTATGGTATTTCAAAAGAGGCGTGGTATCCAAGGGGGAATTGATCTGGAATTGAGGTAGCCCGTCTCTGCGATAGCCGGCTAGTCTGACCAAGTTTGTCGACGTGGCTGTTTACTGTCCATTCAGAGCATGAGTTATAGGGACCTTATGAATAGCTGCTAGTTGGTGCGCACAGCCTACGTCAATCAGTTGCCTATTCCCCAACATTCACCGCCATGCCTTTGCGGGATCTTGGCAGAGGTCGCTATTCAGCCCTATCATTTCGCTAGGCACCCTCTGTATCAGAACATGGATCAACGAGGCTATGTCACTTCCTCTCGTGTATATCGCTCAATCAAGCGGGTATTTCTACAGTTCCCATCCTTTTGCAAAGGATTCGCCTTCGACTGCAACTTCACGTAGCGTTGCTCAAGCCGAGGCCCAAATGCCCCGCTCCGAAATGATAATCCGCTCCGACGAGCTCAGCTTCAATGACGTAGCGTGACTGGTCAACTCCAACTTCGTGATAACCTCACGTCAAACTCAAAATGGCAGACACAAGCTCCCGACGTGTCGCCGAGGTCCTTTTAGAGCCTACAGGCCTGAAGATCACATCTTTCCAAGAGATTCAATCGCTGTGGGCGGGATATGGTCATATCTGCGCTCTCACCGCAAAACCAAAGGATGCCGAAACAGCGGGCAGAGTGCGCAAGTACCTGCATGCAGCCGAGTCAAACAATACGTTCTTCTTGATTCTGAAGCTTATATCGCCGCCGCCTGGACCAACGGATGAAGGCCATCTGCGCAAGATATTGAGTTATGACGTTGAGCAGTATTTCTACGAACGTGTTGCTCCTCAGTTGGATGATGACGTCGCAATGGCTCACTGCCTGACGTCGAGTTGGAAATCGAAAAATGAAGATGGAGAGTTACGAGGTCTCACTGCTACGATTCTTACCGACTTGAGAGTCAAGTTCCCTGTGGAAGGAGGGAAACGATCTGTTCTGAATCCGCGACAAGCTCAATCTGCTCTAGAATGGCTCGCCAGATTCCACAGCAACTCTTGGAAATTTCTACCCGCGAAATTGGACGAGTATCTCCTCCCTCCCCTCGAAGAGTTCAAAAGACGAGATGCGGGTCAAGCTGGAGGAAGCAAGCTATGGTTGAACGGAGGATACACTTATCTCGCGACTCGACGCACAGAGTACAAGTCTCTTGCTGGCGATACATACTCCGAGTGGTCAGATGCCTTTCGCGCACCTTTTGGAGGGTCCGATAAATCCACTGCTGAAGTGGTAGCTGATTTCCTCACACCAACTGGTCGACCCTTTGAGACGTTGATTCACGGCGATGTCAAGTCTGAGAATCTCTTTACTACCGAATTGGGAGATGACGTTTGCTTCTTCGACTTTCAATACGTTGGTCTTGGGCTTGGAGTTTGCGATTTAGCCAAGTTGTTTACATGCTCTGTCCCTCTCGATATGCTAACAGACTGTCCATCTTTACCTGAAAAAATGGACATGGATCGCGGGGAAAAGGCTTTGTTGTACCTCTACCACGAGACCTTGTTGAGTCGTCAGCCATCTAATAAGGAACCTTTGGATTATGATTGGGAAACTCTTGTTCGGCATTGGGAGTGTGCTCTTGTTGATTGGTGTCGCTTCCAAGCGTCGTGGGGATTCTGGGGAAACACGGAATGGCTTGAGGCGAGAGTTAGATATATTCTCAAAGATGCTGGGTGGAGAGAGTGGTTGTCGAAGGAGAGTTCTGATACGGGAAGGTCTTCAAGCCTATAAATGATAGATGAATAGATTCGAGTTTGTTTCACGATGATATCATGACAGATCCTGTCCTATCTGCCCGATAAGAGTTGATTCAGGTGCTAAGCCGACTTCCATTATATGCTTGTACGTTCTCTTTACTTTTGCCCTGGTGCAGAAAGACTTTACTGTCGCTTCAACCGTTTAGATACAGAAGCACCAACCAGAACCTGCTCTTTGCCACCCTCGGCCTCGATGACCCACCTGAGCATCCCGAAGGACCCTCATAACCTGGGCATGGGTGTTCACAATCATCACCCTCCATCTCTGGTTGCCCGTGTTTGGCCAACAGCCCCCAACCGCAGTCCAAGAGCCTGGAGAAGATTGTGTCATCCAGCTGGCGGGGCCGCTGCACTGCTATCACCCACTCTCTTCTGACTTTAGCCCTCAACAGAATTCCCTTATCTTACCCTGCTGTACAAGATCTCAAACCTTCTACTTTACCATTACATAAAAGTCTGAAATGTCTCTCATAAAGGCACGTGGGCGGAAGGCCGAGAACCCGGATAATCTGATTGAGCAGGCAATCCTACATGGCTTTTCGCAACACCATTCTCAACTTGACCCACATCCGATGAGATGAAACTTGAAAAAACAGAGCGAAGAGAGAAATTTTTCTCTGAAAGAATATTTTCTTAAATTTAAAGCTATTTCGACTAACTCATTCCTCCTTAAAATCTTATCCTCCTACACCAACCTAACTGTTTGCACTCTTATGTGTTGACTCACTATGGGTGATTATGAGACGATAATAAGCTTGCTTGCACCATACCAATCAACTTTGCCTGCGGCCAAGTTGGCAGTGCTTTGAAGGAATGTCAGAGCGGTGAGGCTGGGGTCATAGCTAACTGTCATCACCGCTGTCTGAGGGTCGGATGCACTTGGTGAGAATTTCGGCTGAGTGGGGATTCCAATGGCAGTCGGAGGTTTGTAGACGATGAGAAGCTGGGCTCGGAAATTCTCAACGGCCTCAAAACGCTGTGGCCCTGTAGCGGTGCCTGTTTTGTTGAAGGAAACGCTGATGGTGGCGCTCTTTGACAAGTTGGCTAGTTCAGCCTGGGTGACCGTGTTTGTCAGTGGTGATGTTGACGCCCCTATCCTTCTAAACTTACATTTTCACCGTCATTCTGGTTGTGCGTAGCCATGGCAGCAGTCAAATTTCTCTGAGTGCAACGAATGTTAAGGTGTTCTAGGGTTTGAAAACTGGCTGGGGGAAGTCCTCCTTGTTTAAGGAGAAAAGAAGATGTGATAAACCTGAGGCGAACTTACGCTATTGACCGATGGGATCACTGTCCTTTATACTTCGTAGGTCCTCGAATTTGTCTCTTAGGACTATGCTGTGTTAATATTGAATCCAAAAAGGCCACATTAGGGTTTGTCAAGTCCTGATCGAGGAGACGAGTATGGATGGAGACCCGGCCGAGGGAGCTTCCGTCACAACAAGAAAATGCATTCGTATCTCCAACAAAGATGCATGTATCAGTTCTGGGTCGATAGTCTTTGAGAAGAATGTAGGAGCTGAAAAAAAAGGTACAGTCTAGAACGCTCATGACATCAGAGGTATCATTGAGATGTAGTCTGATCACATCACTCAGCCAGCCACAAAGCAATTATCACGCACATGCATATGCGACTAAAATAGTTGAGAGTTTCGGCACCCACGGCTGCGATTCAGATCCATCATACGACAGCCGGGGTACGTACATAGCATTTCTATATCACAAGTTGTTAGCATTCCGTTACCTTTACTGATCAAAAGGCTGGTGACTACCTTGTAGTCCATAAGTGCGATTTTAAATGTCGAGAATCTGCACCTGGGATGATTTACGGAACAGTAAAGGCTGGCTTTAGTTGTATTACTGGAACGTTAGTACTTCTCCATCTGACGTGAGTACAGATAGAGTGAAGATGTTCTCGTATTCGGTGATTGAACTTTGTGCAAGCCTAGATTGATGTGATGTCCCATGCATTCGTTTCCAAGGCGAGACAAAGTATATTCGGATCGATCACCCTACCATATCGCAAGAGAAAGTCAAGCCAAGGACGCCAACGAATTCTAGATCATATTGTGAGAAATGTGAAAGCTGTAAGTTTCAGGTGCCGAGCCGAACTGCAGCCCAAGCGATGGCGAGGCTGGCTGAAAACATGTCTTCACAGATATATGAATAGTTCAATCTGTGTCGGGGCAGCTGGCTGGATATGTGATATCGAGACAAAGACGCAGCAATCGACCCATTTGCAAATGGGTCGAGGAGAACCACCTCTTCCCTCCGGAGCCTAACTCCTTTCGAGTGCAGTGCATTGAACATGTCCCGAAGGGCGATAATGAAGGCGCAATAGCCAATCAAATGGTTAGATGACAACAAATAGTGTGACCAGCACGATCGGCCACCATTCCGGAGTCCTTCCCCGGGCGCCACTAACTCAGCCCGAGAGATTCAAACCAAGAATCTGCATTTAAACAGGAAATACGGATGGAGTCTCACAAACGTGCTTAATTATGCAAGTGAAGTGACAGTTCGTCACATACCAGCGGCGTTGTTGGTGGCGCTCAGGATAGATCTAGACCTGCAAGCCATGGGGCAAGAACACTCAGATTTGTGGCGGCCCAGGACATTTTCTGAGCTAGCACATAATCAGCAGAGAACGTTTTCGGGAGCCTTCGTACCTTTGTTTATGGTCCCAGATGCTGTATGCAATTGGGTCACACAAACATGCACGGCAATTAGGATAACCGAGTGCATGCTACACATTGAACCTCCCGAGATAACCCTCAGAACCCTAGAGGGTCAAACCTGAAGCACTGTGTATTCATAAGCCCATCAATTTCGAATGATTGCATCTTGCAAGGATGTGACCTACCCGCTGCTCACTAATTTAAACTACCCGTTGGCTCGAGCCGGGGAGGCCAACTAAGCAAACAACGGGTACAACGGGTATACTGACTGGACCGGGCCGAACCTTTGAACTCTAGAAAAGTATTTCTCTATACTTTGTGCAAAGAATAACACCCATTGGGTGAAAATGTTTCCTGCTGGTCTCAGTTTCAGGCGTCGATAGCCATTTGCGCTAGACCGGTCTGGATACAGTTACCGCCTTTTACGCCATGTCCCAATACACTGTAGGATTTGAATAGACAAAGCTCCTCTGCATTTCCTGTTAGCCCTATTGATTGGATATAACTGACATTAGGATGAAAAAAGCCTAGTCCGTAATGAAGACCTCAGAAACACAAGGCGTAGGTCAGCCGCACCGAGCAGCACACAGTTCACACGAATGGCTTTACCTTGTGCCATCCTGCCTCCGGTATGTGATACTTGCATGAGAAAAGCTCTTTATACCCCTAGGGTAGCGTATGTCTCCCACAGCGATATGCATGTCTAGGATAGTTGTTTCTTTGTCACTTTAAGACAAGTAAAAGGGAGCGTATCATAGATTTCCGTGGCTTGCAAGAGTTGAGCTGAACTTTTCAGGTGTTTTCATTTCTGGAACTAGTGGCTGGATTATTGAGTGGCTTCCATCACACCACCGAGCGCCCAAATGCTTTCGTTTCCCAATCATCCTCTTGCGGAAAGATGCGATTTGTTATGCGTCTTGAGGTCCAAAGCGTCGCACCACGCTATTATGACCTTTGATTAGAAGAACTTGGAGCCTTCACAGAGGCATCACGCAGGTATAAAAAGGCCGGTCGCTCCCCCATCAGAAGCAACTTTTCTCATCAGCCAAACATCAAACAACCACAGTCACATTTCATCATTTATCCATTTTTCAGTAACCCTTAAATCATACACCATGGGCAGCAAGCAGATCAACATCTCCTTCACGGACGAACAGGTCGCCAAGTACAACGGCCAGGGCTACGTGCTTTGTTTCAGTGCTGGTGTTGCAGGGAATCCCGAATTCAACGTCGTCGCCACAGCTGACAGTAAGTCACACCTTGCAGGATTCAATTGAAGATGAAATTGACCTTCCAATAGCCATTTCCACCGTCTTCAACATTACTTGGGAAGACCAGTTCCAGATAGCCGCCACCAAGGATGAATTCAGCAATGGAGGTATGAATTTCTTTCTTGGATGTGTAGATTTATCTAACAACCTCCATAGTCACGTTCCACATTTCCACCACACCCACGCCCATCCAGTTCAACGAAGCCTACACTCTCCCATCCAACTGGACTGATGGTGTCGTTTCGACTGATGTCCTTCCCACAGCCAATTCTTTTGCGTTCGTGAACCAGACCAGTGGCGCGTCTGCGGTCATCTACAAAATCATCAACGGCAAAAGCCTGCCTTTCTTTATCAGCCCCAACCCTATTGACCAGGACGCCACTGAGGTGATGACGCCTCTGTCTACCGTTGCACTCTGGTTCCAGCAAAATGTCGAGACTGGAACTATGGTATCTGTCGTCACAGATGAACTTTCGACCTTTGACTTTTCTGACAAGAGCAGTCTTGACTTGACCTGGAATGGCTCTCAGTTTGTCCCAAGCTCTTAGGACGTTCTACAATGAACCACAGTCGGCTTGAATGAACGTTTTAGCTAGACTCGATACTACTGAGAAAAGGGCAGTGTAGTTTCAATATGACCTTTTTAACAAATACTTGAACTGTAAAGCCGATCGTCGTGTTACTACCATGCTATATCCCTAAATAAGTGTAAGGCTTACTCTAGTTTACTTAAATAAACTGCCTACTATTTTATCTACCAGGCATTATTAGGATAATTAGACTAGACGCTGAGTGATGATTTAGACACTACGCGAGCCCTGACTCTTATCGAGTATATAACTTTAACTTATAGCTATTATAGTTATAGCAGTAGTTTAGTACTGAGAAGTAACAATTAATGCCAGTCTGTGGTCAGTTATGTAGAGATCAAACCCCGGCAGGACAGTTTCGAGGCGCACCCAGGCAGTTCCGTAGCCAACGGTCTGGCAACAGGTCTGGCAGCTCTCATCATCGAGTGTGTGAGGTTGGGGTTATCTATAACAGAGAGTTAGAAATGATAAAGGTCGAGGAGGACCTCAAGCACAAGGACCTTTTCATCGACCAAGAAGATTTAAAAAGAATCCAGGATCTGACGGGAATGACATATGTGTTGAGCTCGATAGGTATGGATGTCAACACATAGAACAAGTACATTGAGGTTTGGAAGACGTTCAGTGACGCCGCAGATGAACTTTCACGAAGCGGTACCTCACTTGGTCAACTGGAACTCATTGTAAAGCTTGCTGGAGGTTTCTTGAAAAGGGGAACGTATTAGGCAGATAGTGTTCATGTTATAATTCGATTTCATTGCATACGCCCTGCGTTATGGTTAATGCCAAGGGTGATAAGGGACTATAAACATTTATCAACAGGAAGAGGTTGTACTTCCAAGCAGTGTCTGGCAAACTTCTGGGACACGCTAGATGCTTTATATAAGGTAAAATCTTATTCTAACTTATCTTATATAGTAAAAAGTCATCTAAAACTTATAAGATTCTATTAGATCTTAGTCATGGCTTCGTGAGTCATGTCAGTTAATCATGAACTCTTAACCTGAACCAGGTGATCGGAACCAAACACCGACACGCTAGCGCAGGAGGACCCACAGCGATACCGACATTTCGGCGCTGTCAGCCAGATTTAGTGCATGATCCTCAGGCATTTGGAAGCCCCCGAACCTTCTAACGCCAGCCTAACAGTGGGCCACGTGGGGACTCTAACTTCCATATCAGCAAGATTTTTTTTTCACGATAGCTTCAAGTTTCGGGCTTAGACCTATTTCAAGATAGCGTCCCGCCACCCACTTTAATATTTTTCACCCTTCTCTTATCTTTTTCCTTCTCTCCCCGGATTTTCTCTCCACGATCTTTAATTTCCACAGACTGGGTCGAGATGAGCACCCTTGCGCTGCCTTCGAGCAGCTTACCGCCTTTGTTCACGCTCTCTAAACGCACCGAGGCGGAGGTTTTCAACGCGCTGCATTACTTGGCGGCTATTTACTGTCCTTTATCGTTTCCTTTTTCGAAGGAGTTGGGGGATGTGAAGCATGCTTTTGCGGAGGTGGATTCGGGATATACCTCTGGTAACGAAGATGATGAGGCGGAATTGACGCCTGCGAGTATTCGTGCGGATGTTCATGAGAAATCTTTTTCTGAGCGCTGGTTGACGGGTTTTATCTCGCGCGTTGAAAGTCTGGAGATTTTCTCATCGGAGGAAGAGAGTCAGCGGGCGCTGGATCAGGCGGCGTATATTTTCGAGTCACTGTTCGCCAGTGCATTGGACGAGGATGACCAGAACTCGCCGTTTTTGAGAGAGTTTTCGTTTGAAATGAACCTTCCTGGCAAGGAGAAGGAGCAAATTTCTGTTCAGCTGAACGACGGACTCGCGGGAACGAACGATACAGACTTTGAAGACGTTGGACTGCAAAGTTGGGGTGCCTCGATCGTCTTTTCAGATCTCATGTGTACAGACCCCGAACGATTCGGTCTGACAAATCTTGATTCTACGAAACACACTCACATTATCGAGCTTGGTGCAGGCACCGGACTCGTAAGCCTTGTTCTCGGAAAACTCATTCCCGCCCTTGGCATAACCGACTCCAAAATCATCGCAACAGATTACCACCCAGCCGTTCTCTCCAATCTCGAGTCCAACATATCCATCAACTACACCTCACCCTCCCCGGTGCAAGCATCACCCCTGGACTGGGCTGATTTCTCCAACACCGCCCCCTTCGACATCCCAGCAAACATGCTCTTCGCCACAGACGTAGTATACGCTCCCGAGCACGCACGCTGGCTACGCGATTGCGCAACACGACTTCTTTCAGATGATGGTGTTTTCTGGTTGTTGGTTACGATACGACCTAACGGCAAGTTTGCGGGTATTGGGGATACTGTTGAGGCTGCTTTTGCCGAGAGGGAGAGATTGCGGGGGGCGGATGGCAGGATGTTGGAGATTTTGGAGAGGCAGAAGTTGGATAAGAGGAGTGGTGTTGGGAGGGGGGATGAGAGTCATTATGAGCTTTTTAGAATTGGTTGGGCATAGACATGAGGGTTAAAGGGTTTGCTTTTCAGCGGGATTGAATAGAGGGGGGTAGAATTTAGATTTAGACATAGACATACAAGGATGATAAGACACGACAATAGATTAGACGTCAAGACTACGTTTACGGTTCACCATGGTTGGTCCTATTCCTAAGTCAACAAATCTCTGTAATCAATGACATGCCATGAATGGTTTGTCTTGACTTCGAAGATGTACCCCTATGAGCAAAGCACATGGTCTGGCTCGGGAGCTGCTGGCTATAAAGATAGTCCCTTGTCAAGAACGTCAGTTAATTAGCAAAAGATCTCATTCAGTTTCTTCTTTAGAAATACCCCTCAATTTGGGTCAAAAAACATGTATACCAAAACTCACGTCTACTCAAAGCCCTCAACCCCCCGACAATTACCCCCGCAATAAACCGGCCAACAATCCGAACACTCAGGATCTGGCTCACCATTCCCCTTGTGAGCTTTACAATCCGGCACCGTAGCCCTCATAAACCCATGAAGATGATGATCCGGGCCTTCCTCCCTCCCAACTCCACAATCACACAAGACGCTGTCGTCTTCACCAGCGTCTTCTATATATCGGGCCATGGCTTCATCATCATTGACGTACGCGAAAGCAAAGATGAGTTTTAAAGAGTCTGGATCGTAGTCTTTGTGAAGAATTGCGTTGTCGTAAAGTTTGTTTATGATGCAGAATGTATCGCCGTGTTCGTGGAGATGGTCTAGTTCGGCTTTTGCGACGGTGCCAGTGCGGACTTGAGGATGACGTTGGAGAAATTCCTCGATGTTTTTTGAGGGAGTCTTGGGGACATTCTCTTGGAAAGCCATGATCCAAAGACGTATTCAGTATGTGTGATATTAATAGAATTGCAGGTATTGACGATGAACTTGTAGGACAACCGTGGAAGCCAGCTTCAGTTGGATATTTGGCAGTTTAAATAGTTTTTCAGTCCCGGATTCATAAGCTGACTATATATTATACGCGCCGTCGAATCGCAAGTCGAGAATCTGGCGCTAATAGGCACCCTGAAACCTACATTCACAAGTTGTCTAGCACCACCCAAAGCTTCAGAAGAGTAAAAAAATGAGTTGTGAATTTATGATTTGATATTCAGCTCGACTGTCAATTAATAAACAACGCTGCGCGACAGAGGCATTGTAGACCTGCCTTTCGTACTCCTACTTCTTAAAAGCCCCATTGGACAGCTCATCCTCCAAATCGTAATAAGCCTGAAACTCACAGTAACAAATCTCAGGATCACTCTCAACATCAAAGTTGAAATTGGCCTCTTCATCGTCAATCAGCACCTTGGGCAAGCCATTCGCCGCCGCCGCCTCAGCGAGGAGCTGCACACGACAGCTCCTCTCCATAGACGTATACAGCCACGCTGCCTCGTCTACTGTTTGTCCAACAGTCAGGATACCGTGGTTTCGCAAGATGCAGCCTTTTCCTTTGGGGCCCATTGCTGCTGCGATGCGGTCTCCTTCTTCACTGCCCAGCACGACGCCACCGTAGCTGTCGTAAACGCTATGCGCGTCTCCTCGGAATTTACACACATCTTGCGTCAACATCTCAAGACGCTTGCCAAACACAGACCAAGCTTTGCCGTGAATGCTATGACAATGACAAATAGCGTGAACATCGCTCCTAGCTTTATGAATAGAAGCATGGATCAAAAACCCCGCCGAGTTAGGCGGTCGCGAGCGATTCCCGCCAATGACCTCCCCCTTAAGATTAACAAGAATCATATCGCTTACTTTCAAAAGACCAAAGTGGCGGCCTAGGGGGTTCGTCCAGAAAGCATCGGTGAATTCGGGGTCGCGCACGGAAATGTGGCCGCTTATGCCTTCGACGTAGCCCTCGCGGTGCCAGTGGCGAAAGGCGGCGGCCATGTGCTCGAGCTGCCATTGGCGCTGGGAGGCGAAGTCTGGGTGCGTGGGGATGCCGCGGAGGACGACGTCGCCATGGGACATTGCTTGAAGGGGGGTTTTGTCTTTGAGTTCATGGCCGTGGGAGGGTTTGGAGTTGGGGGAGATGGTGAGGGTGCCGCTCTGGGCTTGGATGGTGGTGGTTGAAGACATGATCTAATTGCCTTGATAGTGAGTTTGATGATGTTTCTTGTGGATGTTGAATCCTCAGTTGGCTTGTGGTCTTTTATGTCTTTGTTATCCTTCGTCTATCATTGGCGTGCGCCCTCTAAATACCCTCTGCTAGTCATGATTGCGGGGAAGCGCCTTGTTCAGAACAAATGGTGCTTATCATAAGCGGGACCGGGATCTTGGCCCGGTTAATGTAGGATCGTATTCTAAGGATGAAAAGCGTCATCCAAAAGGCGTGGATGGTAAATTGCAAGAATTCGTTAGTGAAAAGAGGGCGCGAAAGATAAAAATCCAGACCGGATAGATGATACTTCTTTGGGCTCCGGTCAGACCAATTAGATGCGACGGATCGTCTCATCGGGTATACGGCCCGGTCACAAGTCAAAAACTTTATACACTGGTCTCAAATGCCGGATCATGATGATATCCCGGTTGTGCTCCTCCATTCCCTCTTTGCCTTCCATATCGCACTGTTCCCGAGACGGACCAGTTCGGAAATGAACCGGTTCAGCTCTTGGATACAGTCGATATCATCATTCGTCAAGTCTCGCATCGGCATATCCTGGAACAGCGTTGCACAACCCGCCAAGAGATCAAGATCGTTTCGGGCCCGCGGATCAGAAGGGTGAAGAAGGAGGTTCATAAATAGAGCCATGGCCGCTATTGGCGGGTAAATCGCGACGTGGCTGCTAATGTTAGAGAAGTATGAGTAAAGAGACCACTTCGACTTACCCAAACATGTCTTCTTGGAGGATATCTATTTGTGATTTGAAGATCTGGAGAGTAGTGCGACTCGCCTCGAGAGAGATATCACTACTTGAATGATAAACATTATGTAGATCCTCAGGGAGTTTATCATCCACAGCGTATTTTGCACCGCATCTCCGGACAGCGGTATGAATCATCGTCATTAGGTATTTATACTCCAGCTGCAGATGGATACACCTTATTCTTTGAACAAAAGACATATCTGGTTGCAGGATAGGGTGCTCGGAACTCAGAGACCATTTCGGCCTATAATCATTAGGGATACTTGAGCGCCATGTCTCAAGATCAACGTCCAGTTGGCGAACTTGACCCAAAATCGCTCCATCTGATAGTTTCGAATTGTCCAGCGAGCAGAGAAACAGACAGATCTTTTCTTTGATCTGTGACAGGCAAAGGTCCTGCGAAAAGCAAATAGAATCGTCTTGGAGGAGCATCCCACCTTGAGTAGTGCCAGCCCGGCCCTGATATACCCTTGCCCAATCATCCGGCAGCGTCAGGTCACAATAGTCCCTCGTCAGACAAGGTGGTCTTCCGTATCTTAGGGCTATATCTTTGTCGAGAATGTAGCACACCCAGAAGAGGTTCCGGATATGTCTTTGCCGACGATCAACTCCAGCATCTGACCGGCGTGGATGTGCGCTGTGGCCTTTCAGATCGTATATAGCACGGCAGGCGTAGGGATGAAGTTCAGCAGCGGCACCCCACTGACCTGATAGCAGATGATATATTTGCTGAAATGTGTCAGCGCAGAGTAAATGTCACTTATTAAACTCATTGACTTACAAGCATGATAACCGTCTGAAGGCTTTCCAGGGTGCTCTGGCCAAGTAACTGCGGCAAATAGCTGTGCGACGCACGTATATAGACATCACTATCATCAAGCTGTAGCAGAGAGCCCTTCATCCGTGAACACAGAGCCATGAACGCCAAAAGGCACACCTGCGCCGACTGCGACTCGGTATAAGCCGCCGCCAACGTCTCCTCAACAAGCGCGATGTCAATGATGGGGTATAAAAGTCGCCAGGGTGAGGTGAAGTACGAATTTAAGAATGCTTCTATCATCTGTCGTTCTGGAAAGGTGAATAGAGGTGAAGAGCTACTAAAATGGTGTTTCTGCGACCCAAAGAGACGGAAGCCATTTAGGGAGACGCTTTCGCCGATCTTGGAGGATATCCACTGTCGGCCTTGGGGGGAATTGATGGGGATGCCTTTGAAGTACCAGTGCTCTCCGAGACATGTCCAGATCGATGCAGTAGTGTTTGCGGTTTTTTCTTGGAGATATGGCGAGATACAGCCCGTGGTATCCTCAGAATTACCTCGCGAGGTTGAAAGTGAACTGGCGGCCCGAGTTGCGCTAATCTCGGAGCGCATCTGCACAAGAGATGCTTCAAGCTCAGCGACTCGGCTCTCAAGGGCCGCGACCTGTTTTCCAACGGCGATTCTGTGCTAGGTCAGCCGGGTCCTTCTCGTACGTGTCTCAAAGGGACTTACTTCACGATCGGTGTACTGGTCGTCACGCACTCGAGATGAAGCTTGGCGCAGCGTTCACACAGCCCTTCGGGATCTGGTCTGACGCATTGAATCTAGTTTATTTTAGTTAGTCTAGGGATACTTGCGTGGGGTGCGTTACCTTTCTTTTGGAGCAGCCGTCACAGGCTCTTAGTCTTGGAGGCATTGTTGATTGAATGGTTGGCGATTTCCAGCGGAAGAGCGGACTCCGTGGTGGTTTTAATGGGCCTTGGTCTAAGGGGTTGAGCTAACCTGAATATCTCAAGTGCTGTATGCTCGCTACGCTGATTGGTGAGTTGGTTATTCTGATGGGGGGCGCGGATTCCGCATGCCCGCTGTGGGGTTACGACTTGTATTCTCGTGCATGGCACCATCATGATGAAGTAGACGCAGTAATGATAGTAAACCTGGAAACAGGTGGACTATGCTCGAATGGCTTGATATATAGTGCCCAACAGGGTGCTCGAGGGAGTATAAATAGAGATCTTCCCTCCTGTCACTCAGCCGTATTTTCACAACGTCAACCATATATCGTTTCGCACTTTAACATCCACAATGACTTCTATCAAGCTACCAAAGGCCACCTGGTCTCGCATCACTTCCAGCAAGCGTCTTTACCGTTCCTCTCAGGCTGTCTCTACAGTAGATCAGAAGATATACATCTTTGGCGGCGAGTTGCTCCCACGTGAACCAGTCGACAACAGAGTCGATGTAGTCAGCCTCGATACTCAGGGTATTCTTACACTCAACCACTACTGAATACTTACTGACCATTCCAGAGCACGGCGCTCAAACTCTCACGGCTACCACCAAAGCTCCCTCCCCTCGGGTTGGCAGCCCTAGCACCACCATCGGAAGCAACATCTTCCTCTTCTCCGGCCGCGGCGGTCTCGAGATGAAGCCCATCGAGGAAAATGGAGCTATATGGCGTTACAACACTACGGAGAATACATGGGACTCTATCGAGCCCGCAGATTCTTCTGCGCCATTCCCGGATGGTCGAAGCTACCATTGCATCACTTCAAATGGCGTTGACCAGATCTACCTCCACTCTGGATGCCCTGAGCAGAACCGACTGAACGACCTTTGGGTTTTTGACGTCACCAAATGCGCGTGGGCTAAACTTCCTTCTGCGCCGGGTCCTGCGCGCGGTGGTTCCTCCATCGCATTTCACGACGGGAAGTTGTATCGCATGAACGGCTTCGATGGCAAGACTGAACAGGGCGGTGCGCTGGATATCTATGACATCAAGACTAGTTCATGGTCTACTGTTACTTACAAGCCAGATGGCGTTGAAGGTCCTGAAGCGAGGAGTGTCGCAACACTACTGACGGTCTCAGTGCAGAGCAAGACTTTTTTGGTCACGATGTTTGGTGAGAGAGATCCAAGCGCTCTGGGCCATGCTGGGGCTGGAAAGATGCTGTCTGACGTGTGGGCCTTTGACATTGAGAGGAGGACATGGCAGAGAGTGGAGATTGGTGACGATGGACCTGTTGCTAGGGGATGGTTTGACGCTGATACTGTGCGGGATGAAGCTGCAAAGGATGCGGTGGTTGTACATGGGGGTCTAGGGGAGGATAATCAAAGACTTGGCGATGTTTGGGTGTTGCGTTTTTAGGCCCGGATTATGATGCGTCTCGAAGGAAGTGGTATCTGAGACCAACGCATCATGGGGAGCACCAGACCGCTAACTAAGGTAGCTGCCTTGATCACTTATCATAGTTCTCTGTCTCTCTTGCTAGACGAGGATATAATTAGAGCACCATGACACTCTTTCGAACGAAAAGTCCATATTGCATTCCCCGCATAAATATGAACAGACCGTAGACTTGGATTGGTATACGTGAGCTAGTACAATATTATGCGTCTCCTATCCGAACTTGCCTCTTCAGGGATACACAGCGGTGTCCCAGAAACATCTTGAGGCCGCCTCTTCGCGATAAAGGCACAGCTAACAGCCCGGTACCCATCACGGTATGGCCGCAGGATAATGGGTACCCTTAGCCCCTGTAAGATCCATATTTCATCTCCATCCGCAATGGAGATAAGAGCGTTGCCAAACCATCCTTCGGCGCTGTCAAAATCCGCATCTGGCCATGTTTTCATGCCCACCTTGATTCTTGCAATGAATGTGCCATAAACCCTTAGGACGTGCGCTTGCGTCTGGTCGTTTGGGTCTGTGATGGTTTCGAAAGCACATCGTGGAGATTCTTGGGGCATGAGGCTCCAGCTGTGAGCCTGGCTCTCACCAAAATCCATGTCCGCGGCTTCGGTACTGCTCCAATCGGCCACCCAGGAAGGGACGTCGAGATTCTTACGTTGAACCAATCTGGTAGCTTGTGCTAGGATACCTAGACTGTCTTCCTTTTCGATTATCGCTCTGGTAGTCATTATCATGACCTCGCTTGCACTCAAGTCCTTTGAATAGTCAGGAAAGATGCTGTATCCTGGCGAAGCCAAGCCGAGCATAGCATATACTCGATCACGATCATCGGAGGACTTGCAAGATCGAGAGTGTGATAATAGAGTCTTGATGTCCATGCTGCCGCTCCAGCGGATCTTCATCCCCAATGCGTTGCGCACATGGTCGACTTGGCGATGGAGGTCTCTGTCCTGAACGATGTCGTGGATGTGACGAAGTTGGCGAGCCTCGGGACCATCTATCGGAAGCCCGGTGGTGAGGAGAAAAAGATTCCGGTTCATCAAAAGGCGTCCGTGTATCTCGCAAAAGTCTTGCAGGACCTCCCAGCACCGCTCCCATGAGGCGGAATAGTGTCCGAACATGAAGCTGACCTGTCCAGATACTATGAATTCCTGGCAGATCCAGGCTCGATTCCACCAGGGACTACTAAGCAGGTCGCAGAATGCAATCCACCCGTTCACAAACTTGTCCATGCGGGTGCGGTCCAAGAGATAGCTTAGTACGCGGAGCTGTTGGTCTGTAAAACCCCCATAACGCTTAAATTTGGAGGTGTCGGACAGTCTGTCACTGTCACGGATTACCTTTTGGGATTCAGCCCCCTCTTGAGTACCTAATCCGCCTTCTCTGTTGCCTTGCAATGACCCATCGTCTTGTTGAAAAGTGACAGCGTCACACAAGTCGGTGAACCATTTCAGTCCCTCGCCACTAGTTGTTGGTGTCGATAAGCAAGCCAGAGTTCGTTCCGCGGACTGGTAGATGTCTCTCATGAAGCCGACTTGGTGCGACCTCTCACTTAAATCGTGCTGATTGATGCATAACTGATCGATCCAAATTCGAAGTGGTCCTTCCCCAGACGATCGAATCCAATACTGACGAGCGAGTACCAGTGCATGATGCAAGTTCGCAAAGATATTACACCTGACTCCGTTTACCAGGATTTCCTTTGTGTCTGTCGGGTCTCCTGCGCAATAGGATAAAGCTAAATACTGTTTTCGAGCGTCGGCTAACAACGTCGCAGGGAGTAACTTGCTCTCAAGTATACCATCATCGTCAGTTTGTGTAGATATTTCGATAAGTCGAATTTCCTGCTTGCTTTTGTCGAGACTCTGGTACAGGTTCGCTGAATAGAACATGGCATTTTCCGGAGTTTTGAATATATCGAGCCCTGGAGGTGACCCCGCCTTTGTGGCACTGCATGTCGCCATTGCGGAGAAGGAGGCGAAGGGAATTGTCGAGAACTCAGAATAATTGGCATGGAAATCTAATGGTCGATTATATCTAAATTGTAGTGAAGATAGTCTTTTATTGATTGTGTTCAGGCTATGTTGGTCCGCCTTCAAATATGCCTCGCAGCCTAACGCTGCCCCAGGTTGAAAGCGAGAATCCGTGGAACCTGATTGGTAGCGCTATCTACTCAGGTCAGGTATCGGAAATTCTTCATGTTCCCATCCTCATCGGAAACATCAAGCTCAGCGTCATTATCTAAAGGCCCGTAAATCTTCTCATTGCGCCTATTCTCTCTGTCCAGGGCGAAATGCATGAACAACGCCAGAACCACAATAGCGCCGCTCATTCCACACCCGATAGCACAGCCCTTGACATAGAATGGTCTACCCCAACATTAGTCACAATCTAAGCACAAAAAATAGGGGTAACTCACGAGTCCTCTTTTGGAAACATGTAGCTGCTGAGGAGAGACGAGCATTGACCAATTATCAATGTTACGGCAAGCCCTGCTCCCTTCTTTGAGTCCCGCCCCTGGTTATTGAGCAGCCATGTGATATTGATGCAGAGCGCTGGGAAGATCCCGCAGGCAGCGAGCCATACTCCAGCGTATCTGGGACCCGGGCGATGAACATCCTGGATCCCAGCAAGGAGGCCATACCCGACAGTGGCAATGGCAGCAAAGCCCGCTACAACAAACCCACGGTTCCCCCACCGATCCGAGAAGAAGGCAGCACCCATACAAAGCAGAAACGCTGTAAAATAAGCCGGAGCGGTGAGTCCCTGGGCATTGATAGAACTATAACCCATGGCGTTAACGATGGTAGGAAGGAAGTTAGATAAAGCTGCGAAAGAAAAGTTGCAGCAGAAGTGCATGACAGCGTGGACGTAGTTCTTGTAGTCGAGAATTCCGGCAACGATTTGTCTCCAGTTGACATTCTTCTTGGCACCGTCGGGACCTTGGACGCGCTGGACGGCGAAATATCGTTCTTCTTCGGTGAGAAACTTGGCCGTTGCGGGGGAGTCTATGAGGAAGAAGTAGACGATGGGGGCGAAGGCGATGGTTGGTGCGCCCTCTGAACAGAGTCAGTATTTATTATGTCGAGCTAGTGTGATCTTACCGATGATGAACAGCAATCGCCATGGTGCTAAGGATCCCTTGATGTGGGTGATGCCATACGCCAAGCTTGATGCAAAGGTATTTGCAAGAGGCGACATGCCCAGCAAGATGGACATTCGTAGACCAAGCTCTCTTCTCTTATACAGACACGACAAGAAGAATGGCGCCCCAGCACCAAAGGTAGCTTCGAAAATTCCCAGAAAGATACGAGTGACTATCAATTGAGTCATGCTGTGAACCGCCCCAGAACACATCGCAGCTGTGCCCCAGCTACTTCATCATCAGCAACAGAAATCCCAACAAGCTACATAAGACTTACACTTACCAAACACAAAGAATAGACACATAGATATGAGCAGGGAATATCTTCCAAAGCATAGTCGTCCACTCAAACAGTATGTACGCGATATAGAACGAATTGAGAACCCACGCCCAGTCGTCGGAGCTTAGGCTAAGGGCTTCTTGTGCACCGGCGGTCTTGGCGTTGCCGATGTTACCGCGATCGAGGTACGAGAGGACGTATAGACAGCAGACGACGGGCATGACGCGACGATCAAACTAATATGTCTGTGAGTTATTGATGTGATGATGAGGGCGTTGGGGACTTACGGCGCGTCTGATTCTTCGGTCCATGTCGGGTGTTGAGAGGAGAGGTTGCGAACCTGTTGAACCCCTCATGTTGTCTGTGCCATCGGTGCTGGTCTTGTCTGGATCCATGGTGCCTTTGATAGTGTACGACACTGAGATCGATCCCGGCGAGTTCTATCAAACATCAAACCTGTTCAGGTTCAATCTAGGAGTTGATTCTTGTCTTTGCATAGATTTTAGAATGTGGAAAGATAGGTGCAACTTGTAGGAAACACGACGGAGAAAAGACACGGCAATTGACGTAGCGTGCCCTGGGACCTTGATGCAGATCATTTCCTGTGGATTTCTCCGCAAGGGATCGGCAGTTGGAAAAGTGGGGATTCGGACGGCCCGAGCGGGCGTCGATTCGCAATGCCGTACAAGTCTTTTCCGTGGATTTGCTGTCGTAGTCATTTATTGTAAGTTTTATAGGTAGTATTTACTGGTTAATCGGCATCTTTTCCAGATCTGACAGCTACGGGATCCTCGGAAGCTATTTACTTATCTTCTTGGCTGCAATTTGTGATCGTTGTGCAGTCCAACATTACGCTAAGTCATCTGCAAACACCAAGTCTTTCGTGCGACGCGTCCATTTGACCAGGCGCATAATGTGAACAAACTCAGAGCGGCTCTGTTCAAAGCTTTGCATGAACTTTTAATATTAAATCAATCTTCTTAACAACAGGCAGCATGAACAGCCAGGATTTCGTTCTCGTATCCGTGGCTACAGCTGTAGGGTACATAAGTTTCCACCAAGACGACAGATATAGATATCTCAGTGACACAACATACAATGAACAAGGTCTCCGGTAAGTGAAATATGGGAACTAGTTTATAGGTATCCTCCTACTGCCATTTCTCACCACTGATCTATAACCTCCCGAGGACAAACAACATGTCCCTTGTGCACCTGATGGCTCCAAAAATCACCCCACCTCGAAAACTCATCGGCGTGGTCGCCAGACTCATCATCAAAAGGACAAAAGAACTGTCTTGTTGTTCGCCATACCACATGGCAGGCTGGGCATCTCACTGCCTCCACAGAACTGTCATCCTTCTCCGAATCCTTCACTCCTGTGGCTGCAACATAGTGCGCATGCATCATAGCTCCCCTCAATTGGCCCGCCAATTCTTCCAGTGTTTCTTCCTTATCTGACAGTCCAAGGACCGATGTAACCGCATCCCATGCCCTCTCCATCATCAGGTCCCAGGTATCTTCCTCCTGCGCCCGATGAGTTTTGTAGCACTCGACCATCATCAATGTGTCAAGTATCCTGGCAGATACATCACCCCTCTCTTCTTTCGGGGTCGAGGAATTAGACAGAAGCTCAGAAATCTTAGGACCGAACTTCGTCACGGTCTCTGGACAAAAGTGTAAGTGCAGAGATGGCCTTTCCTCATCTAGATCGAAGAGACCCTGCCCGTCTTGACACTCCATCGCGAATTGCCAGTCAAGAGGGCCATAACGATTTGGTGAATATGAGAATGGCTCTGAAGTGTGCAGACTAATTGAATTGCCTTCTGAACCATCATCCCAGTCGGAAGGGTAACCGCCCGCCGTGTACTGGAAGCCGTTTGTCGCCTCTTCTCCCTCCACGTCACTGTTTGGAGACCGCGAGCCAGGGTGTTGATAACTCCAGGGCCGGGAAATGGGATGAGCTCTGTAGGTAGGGTATTGAGGACCACTAGCAGCACTCTCGTCATCACTCTCCGGCATTGCCCAATTATACGAGGAATACTCCCTAACCTTAGACACTGTGCTGGGACATATGCCGCTGTGTGTCCCTGGCAGAAGAGGGTCCGAAAGCTCCTGAACAGAAGAGCCTTTTGACATAGATGATGGTAGGTCTGACGTGTTCGGTGGCTCTGAGGTGCGCTCGTCCATTTTTGTCCTTTCCGAGGTCGATCCGGAAACAAATTCCAGAGAATCGCTAGGCATGGTGGTGCTCGGTGACCTATCAAAGCGACCTCGCAATCTTGACTTGAAACCATCATCAGATACCTGTGGTTCCTCTGGCTCGTGAAAGGTTGCAGGTATGGCACTTCCACGGTCGTGTCTGGGTGAGCTCATGGGCCCACCGACAACGATTGTCTTGACATCTCTCCTTGGTTGATTGAATGTCACACTAAGTCTTCTAGATGAGATGATAGGTTGGGGGGTTGGGCTGTTAGGCTTGAGGGGCGGAGGGTCCTTTTTGTCGTGATAGTAGTCATAAACATCGCCATCAATGTCCCTGTCCTCGGCGTAGTTAATACGCGACGTACCAGTTCTGTTACGGGAACGTGTGCCGTATGGGTGTCTAGTATTGATTGGCAGTACCTGTGATGCAGAGACTGCATGATCGGGCGAGTCATAACCAGGTGGTATAGTTGCACCAGCGGAAGCTTCGCGACTCTGAGTGAATTCTTCGATAGGCGGTGGTAGATCTGACTGGCTGTCGTCTGTAGTATCTGCTCGCGTGCGATCCAATCTTGATGCTTGTTGCCAATCAGAGTCATTAGGATAAAGAGGGAAGTCCGCGTAAATAGAATCTGGAGAACTGTTTTGGACGCGCTCTCTTGTGGGTATGCGAACATCACTCGCCTCCTGAGCTAGGGAACCACTAGAGTCCAGGTCTTCGTAAGGGCTCCGCCCAGGTACCTCATTCGAACGGTCAGAGATCCTAAGACTCCGACCTGTAATTCTATCAACAGATCCCTGCGGTTCCTCCTGCTTTGGGTCGCTCATTTGCTGAGACATCAGAGGGTATAGAGCTTCGGGCTCATCGTCATCCTCTAAAGAACATTGCCTAAGATCAGAACGTTCATCTCGACTACCACCCATAGAATAAGGTGGCAAGCTCACTATAGCTGGCGATCGTGCTGGTGGACATGGCTTAGGCATAGGAACCGGTACTGGGCTGGTACCAGCTGGTGGGATACTCCTCGCATACTCGAGGATCGACATTTCCGGCATCATATGATATTGAGACGTTGGTGTTCCGACCGTACTTTTCATTCGGGGGCTTTGACTGGCACCGTAGGCTATATTGCTGGAGGAGCCGGCGGTGGAACCGTAAGATGAAGTCTCACCACCGCTGACGTTGTTGAGGAGCTCGTCGATGTCAATCTCGTCCAAGAGTGCCTTGTAATGGTTCATCTTCTGCTCTTCAACTGTCTGAGTAGGATGATTCTCTGAGATGGCTACGAAGCTCGTCCATTTGCTGGTGATGGAATATGTCATGCCAATATTCTCTGCGTTTGCCTTGGCGACTTCTGTTTCGGTGGCTCCGCGCTTGATCTGATCTTGAAGATCAAGCAGAACAGATTTGGCGACTAGGCGATGGATTGTGCGGTCATTACCTGATGCTGGCTCGATGGGAAGCTCGTAGGTTTTCTTTTTTGCGTTTGGAGTTGTTGTGCTTATGGTGACAGTTTTGGGGAGCTGGCCACCGTGGCGAAGATCGATCAAGAAAGATATTGAGGCGAAGCTGAATGGATGGAGTGATGAGATTGGGAAAGGGGCCTGGATGTAAGGGGCCTTGTCACCATCCGCAGGATGACCATGCCCAATATTGTAATCGACCAGACTCTTCCGCTTAAATCCGCTACCTAGGTCAATGTCGCAACTCCAACTGTTCGGCTCCAGAGCCGACTTCAACAGACGGTTCAATCGATCATGCCATCTCGGGGTCTGCGTAGTATGGACTACATCACTGTAGCCACCACCACACTCCGCGATACTCTCGACCAGACGATGAGACACTTCGTCGCCGATACCTAGGGCAAAGAATCGAATACTGTCCCCGAATAGCTGACGTTTCTTCCAGATGAACTGTATAGAGTCTTCCGGCTCTAGTTCACCATCTGTGAGAATGATGATCTGCGTTGATCCTCTATCCTGCACTCGCCGCTTCAAGGTGGACTCCAATGCACGAAGGAGATCCGTTCCGCCCATGTCAGCCTCCACCTGAGACACGTAACTCTTTGCTTCTCTAATGTTCTCCTTGGTATGAGGTCGCGAAGTCTCCCATAGGCCCATTGTTGCCGATCCCCAGGAGATGACATTGAAGACACAAGTCGATGGTATGCCTGAAAGAGCTAGCAGCATTGCCTCACGCATGACATCGATCTTTCGTGCTACGGTGTGACGTCTGACGTAATCTGGTGAACCGTTTGTCCAACCCATAGATCCAGATTGATCAAGAAGGAACAGAATTTCGCCAGTGAATGATTGTGGCATGATGGCATTTCGGAAAAGATCGTTGGGGCGAATGTTTACCATCATGGCAGCAAGGCCATTGTCATCTGCGGGACAGGCGATGGCTCGAGACTTGATCTGATGGCCTTCGTTCATCTGAATGACAAACACAAAGTCTTTTCTGAGAACGGCTGGCTCGGATACATGATGCCAGACATAGTAGGTTCTCGGTGCTGCATCTCTTTCGGACTGGGTGGAGTATTCGGCAGGTTTAGATCCCTCAAATTGCAGGAGGTGACCTGACTCCTCGTCACATCCCTCGTGGTTGACTTTGCCATTGTCAAGAACCTTGATCCATATGTCTAGCCTCTCCTCTGGTACTCTGGATGCTGGCTCCCATTCAATTGGTGCCTTGCTGTAGCGTGGAGCGATAGACATTGGAATAGTGAGAGCTATACCCTCAGTTGCTTCTGACTCCATCATGACGACCTTGAGCTCTTGGACGTACGTAATCTTGATCTCCACGGTCGTGTTGGCAGGAATGTTTCCAAGAGAAGTTTCAAAGATCTCAGGTGTATGCTCTTCCAAGAGAGCGGGAGCTGCCACTTTATCGCGGACTGCTTCTTCGAACTCCTTCCGTGCTTGTACCTTTGGCTTGACGACGCCTCGGACGCGACGCTCATCGCCAATAGTGCATTCGAAGGAGATGATGACAGCTCCATCATAGAGAGGGAACACATGTTTCGCAGCATCGATTGTCACATCAGAAGGGTTGTGGAACTTCTGTAGCAGCTCTGTATGAGCGACTGTACCATCAACAGTCGCCGTCAAGGACACACTGAGCATCGGTAGACATAGCGTCACCTCAGGTATTTTCGGCACCGCAGTCTCTACCTCGATCTCGGGATATGGCGATAATGAGTAGGGTCTGTATTCATTTCCAATGCCCCGGGTATCGTTACCCGGCATGATGGAGTCGACATTATCGTTTGGCTCGTCACCAAGTGTCACCTTTGCTACCCAGTGAGAGAAATGATCGAGACCACGACCTTGGAATTTTCTCTTGGGCTTTTTCGGCCGGGTTATGGGTGTATCGTCACCCCAACCTCCCTCGGGCATGGCCATCAAGTTGCCTGGGGCTGAGAATATGACTCCCGATTTGAGTCGCTGGGTGAAGACGTGGCGGCTAGCCATTTTGCCGTTTTGTCACTGACTTTGAGTTGATAGTATGTGTATTTAGATCAACTGGAGTTGTTCAAGCGTGATAAAGGAAGAAACGGCGTGTTCAGCCATTCTTTTATCATACCAACGGCGCTGCTTACTCTGTACCTGAAGCATCGCCGCCATGCATGTGACTAAGGATTTTCAACCCCCATGTCGCAGCCGCAGTGCTTGCCTGAGTAAGACGAGTGTAACACTTGCAGATAATCACTCAAGGGTGCATGAGGTTGGGCGGACGCTGAGAACATAATTATTCAATTCCGTTGAGCTACACTTTACATCTCACTGATGCATCCTATCTTGAACTCGAAGAATATGAGCCCATCGTAAAAGTTGATATTGTTTCTCGGTCGCAATCTAATCTCCTCAATCTCAGTAACAAAGGGCCTCGCGATTGTGTGATGAACGTGCATATTGCATGCATGATGAGGAGGGTAGGTGGTGGTCTGACCAGCGGGGTCGCTGCCAATCAGGATATGGGATGCTCATACTCGGTCATGCAGGCGACCGCGAACCCAGTACTCAGTACCCAGTGAGGAGGGGGTATGTGTTGTATTCATCCAGAAAAGAACATCTTTCTAGGCCTATACACTACATCGTTGTCTACCATCAACTGAAACAGCAAGGTCAATTGCGTCACGCCCGAATGGAAAAGAAGATAAACCCAAAGCTCAATACTATTCTACAAAAGGAGCCATACCATACCCATCTCGAAATAAGGCTCGGGTGAATAACCCGGGGATGGGCTGTGTCGCTGCCTAACGTGACCATCAGACTCAGCCGCATAAGCACTGCCACTGACCAGGCCTTTTCCTTGATACTTGCCTGATTATCTTCCTTTGCGACCATGTAGCATGCTTCTCAGCAAACGTCTGATACTTTAGAACACGCAACCATGAATACGTTACACCCAAGTCAATTAGCCAACGCAGATGCAGCCAGGATCCTTGACGAACTAGCAGAGGAAATTCTGAATGCTTCGGACCGCATTTTCCCTCTTGCGGCGCCAGTCGATAGCTCGCAGGCAACTTTCACCCTTACCGAGAGGGCCTTAAGGAAAGACGCCGGATCTGATTCAGTTCCCGTAGAGGTAATCGTCTGCCCGAAGGCTCGTCTTCGCGATAGTACAACAGAGAAGCCAAAAGTCTTCCGGTGTCGGTGCTGCTGTGTAGGAGAACCGCATACCGACAACTTGACCTACAAGCGTAAGTAAGCAAAGCATAAAAGATTCTAGGAATAGACACTGATTTAGATGTAGTCATAAAAGGGAAGAGCCTTCTCATAGAGGAACTACATCCTGATGGACAGCGCAGGTGGTTTATTATGGCAGTGAAGCCGGGACCCTCGACGCTAGTCATTGTGAGACTATCGGATGTATCTCCAATATGTACGACACCGCCCCCTCAAAGCTATGAGTTGTTGGGCTAAGTTTCAATAGACTATAAAGAGGTTGAAGCCGTATCAAAGAACATTCGTCCTCAGGGAATATCTCCAAAACGTGTTCTCGGCATGACATCTTTCCCGAGAACGGTGCCTATGATACAAAAGTAAGTTGTTACCACATTTAGCTTGAAAAACTTGGAGCTTCTCTTGGAAACTGACCTTCTTAAGCGACTGGGGGTTTCCTTCTGCCAAAATAGCGAAAGTTATCCTCCACTCGTCCAACACCACAATCTTGCTTCAGACGCCCTTACGCATCCAGCTTAAACACTGTGGCATATTGCAATCTCCTTATGTGGAGAATGGTGTAAATCAAGGGGCTCACACCAGCTTATCGCCTCAGTCCTACTTCTGTATCCTTTCAAAAGGTTCCCATTCAGACGAGGACGCCTGGGAAGTACGAGGTCAGTCTCACTGCTATAGGGGGAGTGGTGGTTTGTGCTGCTACTAACAAATTCTACTGTAGTAAACTTAGATACACAAATATCTCATGAGACCAACCCTCTCGGTAGACTTGTTGTTACTCTTCAGAATACGACAGTATCACATGCCATTGTTCGAGGGAAGCAGGGAGCTGAGGTTGATGTTGACTTTTACTTCGATCTCCGCGAAGGTCGGTCATTCAGGCCGTGTTAGGAATTTTCCACAAACTGACTATCACACTCATAATAGATGCACAGTTATTCAAGGCGTATCTAGAAGCTGGTCAGAAAAGACTGCGGCAATTTTTCATTCGCGGCCTTATGGAAAACGAGCAAGTCGTGGGTCTTCGGCTGCTTGATTCTGATTCCAGTCCAAGAGAGGATGTCGAAAGTTGGTGGGAGTCTGTAATATCCCCCAAAGGTTACAGCCAAGCAATAATGACCTTCAAGTTGTTATTGTCATATCAAGGCGGAGAGCAGAGGTACAGGGCAATTTTGTCAAGAGAGAGATACGAAAATGCCATCTGTTTTAACTGTAGGTGGTTTCCTACCGCATCTTGTAGATGTGCCTCGAGGCTGACTGTGGACAGTCAAAGACAAAACGCCACAAATATCTCAAAGAGGCCTCTTGAAGTGTCTAAATGACCTCGAGATATGGATAAGCGATTATGATCAGAGCGGCAAGTCTATCGTCTCCCGGATGAGCTGGGAGGAACTCTCCCTACGAGGGACCAAGTCCGGCAGCTTCAGAGCAACATTCATCAAGAGGTAAGTCCCCCAGAATACCTGGACAAAAGGCTTACAGTTTTGAAGCGAAAACGAACGTACGGCCGGCGACTGGCTCGATGAGGTAGACGACCTGATCAGGACCATGCGTGGCGATAGAAATGACCGCTACGAACGCGTAAAGATCGCCATAATCGACTCTGGTCTTCATGATAGAGAGAGAAGTCATTACGGAGCTGAGTACAAAGACTTTACTGGTGTCCCTAACAATGACTCTTGGCACGGTACGTGCTGTGCTGGCATCATTCAGGGTATGTATGAGGAAGCTAGGCTGTATGTCGCGAGGGTCTTTGAGAGGGATCATGCCTATGATATTGAAGGACCACTTCGAATGGCCAGAGTATGTTCTCCAATACCCTCCAAGTTGTCGTTGTATTGACTGTTGAATCAGGCCATCCACTGGGCCATCGAGCCACCTAACTCCGTCGATATCATCAGTATCTCCGCTGGCTTTCGCAACTACTCCAAAGAACTCGATGAAGCCGTCACCAGAGCCAAAGCCGCTGGTGTTCTTGTGATAGCAGCAGCTTCAAACTGGCAGAACACAAATACAGTTGCTTTCCCAGCACGGCATAATCTCAGCACCATGTGCATTTACTCAACTAACACGGGAAATCAGAGCTCGAGCTTTAATCCTGAGCCTCGCGCCGACACACAAAACTTTGCTATTATAGGCGAGGGCTTTCAGCATCCGGATCAGAGAAGGAATGAGCGCATGAGTGGGACTTCGAGTAGGTTCTATTTCCCCTCAAAGCCATCTAGCAGTCACTGACGATGAGTAGTGGCTACAGCTGTAGCTGCGGGACTCGCAGCTAGGATCGTCGACTTTTCACGACAGAAAGATAACAAAGCATCGATCTTTAGGGCGCAGGACGTAGGAAAGCTACCTGGAATGTTGTCAATATTCAGCACTATCTCAAAGCCAGCAGGTAACCTCAGATATATCTCACCACTGGAGTTGCTGCCTCTGAGGCACGGAGTCAGTCGGGAGGCGGATAGACAGCGTGTGAGGGAGGTTCTGTCACAAGCGATGGAGAGGGCAAACTAGGGGAGATTTCGCCTTAAAAAAGAGCAAATACTTATATAACTTAACCTCTCGAGCTACTATCCAAAATAACAACTTCGTCAACCTTGTCATCCTCGACAATCGTAAAGCCCTCCAAGCCTTCGTCTCTGAGGACGCCTTCAACATTTAGCTCACTCTCATCTCCGGCGGCAAACGTAGCTCTCTTGGTGTACGGATCCACTGACCAGTCCTTCATCAGTAGGCCCTTGTGGATCTTGGCAAGTCGGACAGCCCAGATGAAGTCTCCAGGATGCTGCCCAGAAACTCGCTGGGACGCGATGCGTTGGTTGGTAGCTGTAGCTCTCATTGTAGCAACCAACGGAAGGTCCCTAATATCGTCAGCATCGATCAGAGTTTCATTTCTTGAAGTCTTTCATGGAAGACTCACAATTCTGGACCGATATCAGCTGCGATGTTGGTTTCCTCCTGCGCTTCGCGCTTCCCCGCACGGGCGACTTTGATGCCTGTGATCATAAACATCGACCACGAAACCTTTCCCTTGACGTAGGCTTTCAACTGATCTTGCTCCAGACAATCCTCTATATACACCTTGGTAGGCTGCACTATATACGTATCCAACCGTTCGTACTCCTCGTGACTCTCCACAGTCTTCATAAATGCAAACTGCAGACTGGCCTTGGCCGTGACGCCTGTAGCGGCGAGTATTGGGGCTCCAGCAGCGAGGTTAGTCCCCGGAGACCTCAATCTAGTATCGTCCCATGTGAAGTTGAGAGTGCTGTTGCAAAAGACGCGCATGCGTGGGGGAAACGGCAGGATTGAACCGTGGTTGAGAGGAAAGTCGAGGGTTTTGAGGTTGGAGATGAAGTGGCCAAGAGAGAGAGGGGCAGTCGAATCATCGCCGTCGCCGCGGAGGATGGCGTCCTCTTGGGCGGGAGGATAATCGGTTTGACGGAGCTTGAACCAGACTTTTTCCATTTCGCTTATTGCCAAGATGTAAGAGGTGAGATGATTGATCGGATTTAGCGCTTGGCTATAGAGCTGAGTGAAATGTGATTGTGAGGCCTCTTGGGGAGAACAAGGCTGTGCTGTGCCACCTGCACAGCCAGTTAGCCATTTATATGCACCTGTGTCGATCCTGTGGCTATCACTGTAACACGGAATTCATCTCTGATCAAATTGGAATACTCTCTCGAGGAAGGACTGAGATTTGACCTCTGTTCAACTAGAGATCGAAAGCATTGATGATCGCCGTGGTTCTACTACATTTGAACATGATCCGACACTGGAGACTCATCTCGCTGCATGTAAGCTGCATTATGACTCGTTCGATCGCTGCAATTTACCATATCAAGTAAACATTGCGATAGAACAAATATCATGTACGCAATCAGAAGCAAATTAAAGAAAGTGAGTCATATCCGGGTCTGTAGGGCTGATACTCGACAACTCTCTTCAACGCCAGAGTTGATCGCTCCGTTACGATGGGTCTCAGCGGCCCATCATCAGCGAGCCGCTGTGGAGACAGATGGGGACAGACATTGTACGCACCGGCCAATCGGATGATTGATCTATGCTTACTTTAGTGAGTCGATCAGTGAGTCAACGTTATTTCTTACTGCATCTGAGAACACGACAAACAGATTCATGATGTAATGACAATGGGTGCACTCAGTTGAACATCAAATCTCATACTGAACACTCTCTATTTAAGATCATAGTCTTGCGGCCTTTCAATAGCTCTGGCCTCAGAACACAAACTTCTTGAAGCCTCTGTCGCTAAAACAACCCTCAGAGCCCCTCACTGTGCTTCCAGCACACAATTAACTCTCCCTCAATCATGGCCCAATCTACCACGCCAGGCTTCGACAAAGCCTTCGCCCAAACTCTCTGCGATCTCCAAGTCCCCAAAGTCATCAAATTCTCCCCCAACGGCCAACAACTCTTATACTCCGCCAGTCTCATCGGCGGCCACCGCAAAGGCAAAAACGCCCTGTCAACACTCTGGATCGCATCATCCACTGAACCAAACTCATCTCGTCAGCTTACATCCGGTCTCTACAACGACACGTCGCCGAAATGGCACCCTGATGGAAACAGAATAGCGTTTCTCTCAGATCGCGCGAAAGTTGGTGAATCTTCGGCGATTTACATGCTTAGAATGGATGGTGGTGATGCGATTCCTATAACTGATGTTGAGAATGAGGAAGATATTGAGAGCTTTTTGTTTTCGCCTGATGGCAAGACTATTGCGTATGTTTCACCAGATGAGAAATCGGAGGAAGAGAAAGAGAAGAGTGAGAAGGATGAGCTTGAGCCTGAAGTCTGGGGCGAGAAATGGGATTTCGCAAGATTAAGGCTCGTTGATTTAGAGACTCATGAAAAGAAGGTTCTCGTTGGTGGAGAGACTCACGTTGGGGAGCTTTGCTGGAGTCCTGATGGCAAGAAGATCGCTTTTATGAATACGGAGAATCCTCATATCGAAGAAGCAATGTTGACAGGCACGACCATCTCAACCGTCAATGTCGAGACTGGCGAAGTCACGGAGCTTTGCAAGATCATGAATGAGCCGTATGATCTTACCTGGGCGCCTGATGGGCAGATATATTTCATCACCGGCGTGCCTGCTGATAGGGACTCGGGAGGAAGGGCTGTCTACAAAACTGATCCCACAGCCGATACTCACGATTTTGTCAAGGTTGCATGTGGTGTTGACGATGATGCTGGAGGTCTTCAAGTCATTGGTGGTAAGGTCCTTGTGAACCGACAGGTTAGGTTTGTCGATGTCATCAGTGAACTTGGAGGTGTTGATCTTTTTGATGAGAAGAAGGAGCTTTGGGTTTATGATGTCTTCATCGACCCTGAGACTGGTGCTGCGACTCTCGCAGCCAGTTTGTCAGATGTTGGAACTCCTTACGACATCTTCGTTATCGAGAAAGGAAAGGACAAGATTAAAATCTCCAACCACGGCCAACCACTTGCAGGCAAATCCCTCAGCTCATGCACAGTCCTCACATGTCGCTCCAATGACGATGAAGTCGAACTCGACGGTCTCTACCTCACTCCAACCCCCAAAGCAAACCCTAGTAAAGCACCAACTGAACCCCTCCCAACATTCGTCCTCATCCACGGCGGTCCAACATCTCGCGACACTGATTTATTTGACACCACCTGTTTCAACTGGGCTCCGTACATCCTTTCCAAAGGCTATGGCGTTCTCCTTCCACAATATCGTGGCTCAAGCGGTCGAGGAGAAAAATTCGCTTCGTACAGTATGGGAGGACAGGGAAAGTATGACTACGCTGATGTTGTGGCTATCACCGATAACGCTATCAATAAGGGTTTTGCGGATCCTAAGAGGCTTCTTGTTGGGGGTTGGAGTCAAGGAGGTCTCTTGACGTATCTGTGCAGTGTGCGCAATGGTCTTCATGGTCTAGGATGGCGTTTCAACGGAGCTATCGCTGGAGCAGGAGTGTGCGATATTGAAAGTCTTGCACTCACAGCTGATCTAGGATCAACGTACGAGATCGAACTCGCGGGTGGTGACACAATTTGGACTCTTAAGCGCGATGACACAAGGAATCGACAGGGCAGTGCGCTCTGGGAAGTCGCCGCTGCAATGAAGCATACCAAAGAAACAGGGGAGATGGTTATACCGCCTATGTTGATTCTTCACGGTGATAAAGACGAACGATGCCCGTTTTCACAGGCGGAGGGGTTTAGAAGAGCTTTGAGGCATTGGGGGCTGAAGTACGAGTTTGTCAAGTTTCCGGGGGAGGGGCATGGGATTGAACAGCAGAGGTTTTGGTTTGATATGTTTGAGAGGATTGGGAGGTGGTGTGATACGTACATTGGGGATGGGGAAATGAATTTGGCGATGAGATGACGCGTCAGTGTCGGTATCTAGTTGATGATTCAATTGTTGCCAAGGCTTTTGACTGTTGTTCTCAGTGGCAGTCAGGATGGTCGCGTTGGCATAGATGTTCATAGCTGTTGTAGACGTGAACAGAATGACAGTGGCAGAAACCTCTTCTCGCAGTGTCTTAACAACAGAACAGTGAGCACTCTGACTTTACTATGCACTCCAGAATATCCCTTAATAAGAAACCAACCCCTTTCCTTGAATTCTCTCCCAACTCAAACCTCCCATCCACAGCCAACGTCTCCATCTGAGAAACACCTCAACATCCACCATCAAAACAAACTCAACTATCATCACAACACTTGTAAACAACTCACATCGCCATTATGCCTCACTCTCTCCAGCCCGAGACCACCCCCGAGCCTTCCGCCGCCCCTACCGCCATCACCATCACC